TGTAGCCAAGTCGAATCGTTAAGGTGATTCAACGATTGGTTATTTACTCACTAGCCATTCACAAAATAATTTTTATAACAAAAAAATTAGCGAATATGTGTTTTTTTTCGTTGTTTTTCTATGTTATTCGTTATTTTTGTGAAAACAGTGAGCTAGTGTGTTTTGTTATATTCTTGGAAAAAAACAAAAAAGAAAAGGATTAAAAAACCATCAATCGAAACAAATAATAAGAAAATTTATTTTTATTATCTTATTTAAGAAAATCAATAAATGTTTTTCTCATAAGATCAACATGGCACGTAAATAATATGATTAAGATGAGAAAGTTTGTTCAAAAACAAATAGATTAGATTTAGTGTCAGTACTTACGAACTGTTTAGAATTTAATATTCCTATTTGTAAATTCTCTCTTATCGTACATGTATATCTACGGAGTTATATTTTCTGAATTTGATTCAATGTCAATATACACACAGTTCATCGAATTTTCAAGCAAAATGATATATTAATTAATTCTTCATCTAGAGACAGAGATTTTTGGTATTTTGCTCTTGTAATAATACTGATAAGAAAAATTCAATTTGCACAATCTCAGCTGTTATTAAAATAACACATTTCAATGTTGTGTAACTTTTTTTGTCTTATTCCTATTCTTTTTATAAAATAAGATGTATCAGACAGATTTCTTTTTACTTCTTCTACATACAACGATCATTTAGTCTGTAGGAAAAACTTGTTCACACTTAAATACACCTTAGCTAATTTGAGTGATTACTAAAACTGTTTTTTTCTCTTGATATTATGCAACGAAAGTCTCGTATTATTCGTCGTGAACTTATCAATTTAACAGTATTTACGATTGTATCAAAATTTAAATCATTTTTATTTCACGCTTGTGTTCGTCATGCAAAATCAAAATATCGAAAATAAATTAAAACTAATGATGAAAAATGAAATGTTCATTGTATTTACTCGATGCCAGCAAGTATGATCAAAAGTCTGTTTCTTTTTTTTACTTGTTTCAAATTCTCTACTAACGAAACAATGTTGTATTGAATGATGTAACAGACGACAATAGTTTATTCCATTTGAACAAAAACGATTCAAACAGTTTGAATGAATAATTCTTCAAAAATTAACAATAGCATGTTATATTATACCGAATCTCTACTCTTAACTTTACAAAATACTAAACAGAGGTACATTGATATCATATTTAAGAGAAAGTCGGTATGTTGTCATTGATAATAATATTGACATTGCATCAGAAAAAAGTTTGGTCTACTTATAAATATCTATTAGTTAACTTTCATTTTGATATTCTTTACTAAACACTAAAATGTCATTATCGACTGTGTGTATATTTCAATTGATTCTATTTCTTTATGAATATCTTACATGGCAATTAGAAATAAAGAATTATACAACTCATAGTCACCATCGTGAATTATTTGGTGCAAATAAATTCTTTAACACATCTAGCTGCTGCTTATGTTTATTATCATCGTATTAAATGGGCTATGTTATTCTATATACCTTATTTGATAATTTTTACAATAGGACAAACTTTTACTTGGTGGGTACCCTATTTTTTTCGAAAAGGTCTTTGGTATATAGATGATAATGGTGAAAAATTAGCACAATATAAACAATATCATTCTCATCATCATCGAATTTTACCACAATTTAAAAATCATGAAATTATTCCTGATACTGAACATACAATTTTATTTATTTTAACTTGGATCACTCTTATATTAACAACCCAATCGATAATGTCAGTATTGAAAAGGAAAAATTCGAAAACAAAACTGAAGTAATAAATATATTTTAATACTTTAAAGAAAATTGATTTCCTTGTGTGTCTCATATTAATCATTGCAGCATTCTGTTGAATATTATGAAATGAATTTATTCACTTCATTAATTATAATAAAAAAGCGAGCTTTATAATTTACCTACATCGTATGTTTTATTTGAAAAAAAACGGATAACTACTTGAACAAGTCAATGCAAGAAATTACCTTAAAAAAATATAAACTAAACAAAAAAAGATTAATCATTGAAATCGAATCAAGATTTTGGTTGTTGTTTTATAGATTTTAATTTGTCTGTTTCGACTTGACCAAGTGCAAGTTGTCGTTTAAATATATCATATTCATGTTTTTGATCAAAATGTACGACCCATGTTGCTGGACAACTTGATTCAAATAGTTGACGAAGTTGTAAACATTTTTCTTTTTCTTCTTTATTCATATCAAGACATTTCCAATAATCATCACGTACTGACCAGCATTTTTCACGATATTTTTTATCAATAACAGACATTTTCAATGAGATTTTTATAAGTAAAAAAATTCGAGTATTTTTATTTTATATCGATACACTCCAACTACAAAATATGATTGAGATGAATGGCTGATAGACAAAACCATGAGAACAAACGATAGAGGACACCATATGATGGAATTTAATATTGTATGATACATACTATTGATAGAAGCATAAAGTTTCTCCAGATTTAAAATATCACATTGAGTGTAAACGATGAAATCTAGTTATAAAACTCTTGATTCTCAGCGTATAATTATCTCAATATTTTATACCGAAAAAAAATGACTAAAAATTTTTACAATCATTAGCAATTAGATCTATTATATACAAAAAGAAATTGATCAACATTAAGTTCATTGCATTATTTTAAATTCTACTGAAATGTATTCAAATAATATTAGGGCATTGATTAATTTACTGCTATAATACTTTTTTCTTTTTTATTTGCTGGATAAAACTCTCTGAAAATATCGACCATAAAAGAATATTGAGTTACTATCAAAGTTGCAATCTACAAAGAAGTGAATTAAAAAGATTGGTCTAGAATTTAATAGATTCAAATGGGACATGCGCGATCTTAGACAACCATATACGGAGTGAAATAAACCACTAATATTTCTGCACACGACGCTGTTAGGTGATAACACATCCGTTCATCCTACTATTTCACTCACACTTAGACGATTGGTGAACATTCTACATCTATTAAAGTTAATAGTTTTATATTTAGTAAATATGATCGTTATATTCTTTCAAACTGTTAGGTATCGATTTGTTGTCGTTATTCTGTTCCATATTCAACATTAAGTCATTTATCAATAAACTACTAGTGTGATAACATGAAGGTGTATACTCGCTGATAATCGTTCCTCTAAGAATTATGTCGTCTATCTTTTTACTGATGCATTTAACTAATCACGGGCTCATGAACTTCCTCACTAGCTTGATTAGTACACTATATATTATTTAAAAACTGATAACTACGAATAGTAGGATTCACACCAGAAACAATGTGAACGAGGTACTCGAATCATCAATGTACTATTATTTCTTCAATGATACTTATTTGAGAAAAAGGTAATCGAGAAGATGTAAATATTACCATCTCAATCAGAAAAATATACTGATCATTTATATAACAATAAAGGCAAACATAGATAGAGAACTTTTTTAAATTAATATTGTTGATATCAACAAGAAAATTTTACAGTTTGACAAATAGACCAAAAACTAATATAAGATGAAGAAAAAGTAATTTATTTTAGTGAATATGAATAATAAAAGAAACATCTGCATAATCATACTTTGTTCTTTCATGTAAATAATTTTCTCTTCTAATTTTTTTTTCTTTTACTCTACTCTAGTCCGTAGTGGTAGTTCATATAATAAATATATTCTTTCCCAGTTACTGTTAGTTATATTCACTGATTTTTGCTGCCTATATTCATTTTTATTTAATATAGTACGTATTTATTTTTCATCGTTTATCTTATATCAGCGTGTTTAATATTGTTCATAATAGAGTTTTTTGTTTTTAAAAACTACAAGTATCAAATACGTAGATAGCAGAAGAAAATCAAGTATAGCACTTGAAACATTAAAACGCACTACGATGGAGCAAATAGAAGAAAGTACAAAGAAAAAACTATGGCCTACATATAGTAGAGACAAATTAATATGATTCCTTGTATTTTATCGTACAATGATATCTCCTACTCCTACAAAAACGAAAATTTGTTTTGTATCTACCCTTAATATTAGCATCCGAGCACGAAGCAATTGTTAATTCAAGGACAGAACAAGATAATAGAAATAGGAATTGATGTGTTCAAGAATTTTGAAAAAAAGAGTATAGATATCTATCATTTACTATTTTCTATTTAAAACGATATTGAATAGCGTTGTTTAGGTTACGGTAAAAATATCGTTCATAATATAATGTATTGACAGTTGGTAAAATAAAACAAAATAACTTTCATTGCTTTTACCACTAACTTCCGTTTGAGACGCGCCACTAGTAACGCATCTTATTAATGAAATAAGTTCTCTCCTTTTTCTTATTTCTCTATTGCCTTTTCTTCAGACTTCTGTTTCACATACACCTGTGATGTATATTTTTTCTTCGTTGTATCGCATAAAACACATCTCATTTCATCTTGTTGACAACGATAATTAGTAAACAGCTATAGATCTATACCTATTGTCGTTCTTATTCCGCTTCGTTTTTTGGGTGTAGAATCTTCTTGCGCAAGAATATTATAGAATTCTCACATATAAGATAATTGAGATAAACACTGAAAATATCACAATACGAGGTCTCTAGTCATACAGAAAAGGATATTTGTAATTGTACTATTTTATTCAGATATTCAATCCAGTAATTTTTTAACGCATACATCGATAAATTTATGACTATATATATGGCCTGAATGAGTATCATTTTTAAGAAGCTGCATTTGAAATCTATAATTGAATATGTTGTTTCTGCTAGACTCATTAGTTTTCTAATCAATTTGATTACATACGATCTTACAAGAATTATTGTAGAGGTTTTGAGGAAATGTCTATCGAAATTAGCATAAGAAGAAAGTTAGCGAATGTTTTTGTATAAGAATTATAAAAACTATTCATTAGTATTTAATTTCAGTATACTGTTATTATTCACAATGGTGCACATCAGTAAGAAATCAAGTAGTTGTTCATTCATAATAATTATCGTATTTGGTATATTATTTTCTTTGATTGGCTTATATTACATAGTTTCTCCTAAAGCAAATTATGAAATTCTATCTCACTTGACATTAGGAAACCTTCTGAATGTAAATCCAGTTGAATCCACTTCTTCAAACGTAGACGATATACTAGCGGCTAAACCAACAATTAGACACCGATCCAGTTTAACATTAAATAATATTCTTGACGCGAAGCATCCTGAACTTATTTCACCAAATGGTAGATTTATTCTTCGACTAGAATCATCGGGTAATCTTCGTTATTTAGAAGTTTTGGATTTACAAACAAAGATCGATTCTATAACTAATAACGTATTATCAAAAACATATCTTTTCGAAAAAACACTTTTTTTTACATCAACTGGTGATTCTTGGCCTGGTGAACATATCGTCAATTTAACAGCAAACGGAGTTCTTCAAGTACGTGCTAAGCCTACATTTATGACAGAATGGAAAACGACATGGACGTCTAGTTTATCAGCACAATGCAAAAAATCGAGCATAGCCAGTAATATTCCAATATTGGTTATTCAAAATTCTGGATTGTTAGCAATCTATGCTCATAAAAACAGTTCCGAAAAGTTATGCACATTACATCCTGAAGTTATTTACCAAACAAATAATATGTCGACAAAGATTACCACAAGTAGTAAAGGAAAAAGTCCTCGTTTAGCAATTGTTATTGCCGGTCTTTTTCGAACAAATACAATAGCATGTGTTTCACATGTTGAAAAAATTATCAAGAAATGGCAGCAAAAACATGGTAATTTAGTTGATGTTTTTATTTTAACATATGTACAAGATGCTCATCTTCCTGGCGTTCCTGTCGTCAATAAGGAAGCAATTCTAGCAGCTTTAAAATCATGTTACAAAGACAATTTGAAAGGAGCTCATGTTCGTAATGTCGCAGAAGTAGAAGAACCTTTTCCTGGTATTCCTGCTTCTGCAATAGGGCAATGTGGTCCTAAACTAAATCGTTTACAATCTCAATTGAAAACAGTTTATTTAGCAGGACAAATTATGCGAAATTACATGTTATCTGAAGGTTTTACGTATGATTATGTTCTTCGTTTACGTCCCGATACAGATGCATGGGGAACTATTCCTGATCTACCAATTTTTAGTGCCGCTGATAATGAAGCAACAATTTATTTACCTCATCCTTTTAGAGAACATTATTATTGGTGTGCACATCATGATGGACGAATACGTACGGGAATTACGGATCAACTTGCTTACGGAACTCTATCAGCTATGCAAACTTACTTAAATATGTACTTAGAATATGCTGATATGGTTCGAATAGTAACTGGACATTATACAGATGTATGGAAGAAAGCTAAACACAATATAATGGGATGTGAAGGCACTGTAGGTGAAAATGGTTGTGATAGACCTAATGCGGATAATTGTGCTATTGAATGTACTGTAAGTTATTATCTAGTTTTACATGGTTTAGAACCAGAAATTTTATGGACTTGGCAACAAAATGTATTAAGAGTAGGTGGTGCACATAGCAAAGATTGTGGCAGACCTTTTAACTGTTAATGATATTGAACTCTTTTTTTCTCTCTTTTTTCTTTTGTTTGTTATACATTTAATAATAAATTATATTTCAATAAATGAGAATGAATAAAAATATCATATATAATTATTTGTATTTCATATAGCAATGAAATAAACAGATATGATTAATGTGTTCGGTATTATATAATCCAACAGTTGACAAGCCAATAAGTGAAATCTCAATCAATAGTTTTCGTTTTGAACATGCATGATAAATGTTATGATAGAACAGAATTAACTTATAATTTAGTTGATTCATCAAAATATAAATAGTAAGCTAAATACATAGATGTATGCCAGACAAGATTAGCTAAACATCGATTGTGAATAACGGTTATCAAAACAGAACAAATAAAGTAAGGAGAAGTAAAATCATATGAGGTATTTACCATATTACAAACAATAGTAATGATTGTCATGTATCTTTGACATAATATATACTGATGAAAATCTGTATAGAAGACTTAATAAAATCCCTGAGACAAATTTTTGAAATTTATGCTTAAGTGCAATATCAATCATATATTTAAAAACTAACCTTACTGACTTCCTTCAAGTTTTACTGTCTCGTGAATAAACGAACTTCAATTTATGATGTTTGTTAATATCATGCGAATATCAACTTTCTTCTAGCAACACTAATAGTAATCATTAAAAGATGATATACGGAACTTAGAAAAGGTCAAGATCAACGAAAAAAAAAAACTCTTTCGAATTTCTTTATATCATCGTTGACATATCATGAAATACAATAATCTATATTTTTTTTCTATTGACATTGCACGCGATCGAAAGAAATCAATCGTCATTTTCATTAAAAGATATACCAATAAAAAAAAGAGAAAAGCACTGTATCTTCTCTATCTATTACAAACAATAAAAATAAGTCAAAAAGATAAATACATTGTTTCTCATGTCAACGAAAAAAGCTATTTCAATTGTCAATTAAATCTTACAAAAAAGCAATTAGTCGATAATAATGTCAATTATCTCTGACAAATACATTAAATGATTTGACAAATTTCGTTTGTTTTTTTCTCTTTATTTCAAAATTACCTATCAAAGAATTACTATATATATATATGTTTTCAAAAGAATCCTGCAGTTCGATCATAATCTCTAACTGTTTTTCTAACAAACATCATTTATTCAATCTCTCATGATATTATCTCAAGAAAACAACTAGACTAAGCCGGTTACATGATATTGATCTATTGTATCCTGGAGTGAAAGAAAATTCACCTATACTTGTCTTGTCGTTCATTGGAAATTATATTTGTTTTTTTATTATCATTTCACACATGTCTGATTAATCTAAACGATTAAAGTGTTAGAAAAAAATTCTTCTTTAAGGTTTAAACAAGCTGGTATAGTATAGCATGCTCAAACGTTCGCATCTTTTATTTTCTGTCATATGAACGTTATGATACCATTAGTTGTCAAAAAAAATGATGATCTAACAGTAACAGACAGCTGTTGAAAATTTTCAAAGACTCAATCATGAGAAAAATGAACAGATGTAATGAGGATGATATTGAGCTCATGCATGGATACATCTCTATAATATAGGAATTTAATCACTAATCAGCATGAAATCCAACTTTGAAGTTAATATACCGCAAGTAGACGAGTAAAAAAAGATTAAGTTTGTTGAATAAGCTCACTAGGGGATTCATTTCACTTAATTATTTACAAATTTTCTTGATTCAATGAATAGTATACAATCAATGTTTTAGGTCGGATGTTTTATTTCCTTTGAATTTTTAAAAGACCAATCAATTTTTTCTTGTGTATATACAGTAGTATCATTTTCATTTCACTCCCTTGTATATATTTTTTTTTTCGTCATGTCAAGAGAGAAGAAGAAGAAAAAAATGTCCATTGGATTGGCTTCTTCTCTGTCGCTCTCTTATTATAAAAGGTAGAGAAATTGTTCACTTCATTCTATTCTATCGTATACATATATAAACATTATACATAGGTGTGTGCTTGTCATAAATAATCAAAAGTAGTAGAACATCAATTTGTCTCGTATTGTTTATCACTTTGTTCAATTATATACATATATAATGCTTTTTTCACATTATCAACAAATCATCTTCATATTAATTATTATCGTACAAAGTTCTTATGGATTTTGGTGGTAAGTATTTGCGAATAAAAAAAAAGAAATTTTCTCAGTAGGAAAAGTCGAGATCACATCAAAGGTCATTTCTCACACTCGTTTGTAGAAAGGGGGACAAGGTGATAAAAATGAGCATTTATAAACTTCTTTGATGTGTCGACAAAAGTTAAGAAAAAAAGCGAATTCTTATCGATTAGACATTTTAAACTCTAAAGACTATCATTATTGTTTATTAAAGGTCTCTTGGTTTACCGTCATTTCAACTATGGTCATCATCTCATCGATCATTAGAACAAAATCAATTTTGTTCATCATTAACATTTCTAACTGTTGAACAACGTTATTATTGTCAAACAAATCCAAAAATATTCACAATTATTAATCGATCTTTACGTATAGCTATTGATGAATGTCAATATCAATTTCGTAATCAACGATGGAATTGTTCATTATTCACTCAACCAGATTTATTCGGAAAACTTATTTTAAGAAGTAAGAATTTTTTTTGTATTACATAGTTTTGTCATCGATAAAGAACATACAATTATATTACATCATATCGTTCAAGATTTTTATTTGATGTCGTCATCGGTATACAACTTGAGACAAGAATACTTTTCGTTCAATTTGCCTTGAAGCTAAAACATACCATTTTTGATAAGACCCTGATCTTTCTCTCTCTCGTTTTTTTTGTTGACTAACAATATGTCGTTAAAGAAGGGGATAATTAGACCACCTGAAGTGATGTATATATACATTTTCTTTTTTTTTTTCTTTTATAGAAACACCTGAAATAGCTTTCATCTATGCTTTGACATCCGCTGCAGTCATGCATAATATTGCTAAAGCTTGTTCAAAAGGTGAATTAACGGAATGTGGTTGTGATAGAACTCAATTAAAACCACGTTCATCACGAATGATGTTAAAATCTTCAACAACAAATTCATTAACATCCGATGGTTTTGAATGGGGTGGGTGTTCGGATGATTTAAAATTCGGACGTAATGTTAGTATGTCATTTATTGATAAACAAGAAATGCGAATAACTCGACGTCGTATTGTACGTATGGTTAATTTACATAACAATGAAGCTGGAAGACAAGTATGAATAAAATACTAAAGTTATTATTGTCAATCATAACAAAAACATTTTTGTATTTAGGCTGTTGAACGTAATGTTCAATTAACATGTAAATGCCATGGGGTTAGTGGATCATGTACATTACGTGTTTGTTGGCGTACATTACCAGATTTTCGTCTTATTGGTTCTGAATTACGTACAAAATATGCAAGTGCAACACAAGTACGACTTAATCGTCATTTAAATATTCTTAAACCAAGAAAAACTTATCAAAAATTATTTAATTCAACTGATCTTATACATATACAAACATCATCATCATTTTGTGAAAAAAATTCTCGTCTTGGTTCATTAGGTACACAAGGACGTGAATGTAATTTAACAAGAAATGAACCTGGAAGTTGTTCGGTATTATGTTGTGATCGTGGTTATGAAACAATTGTATATACAATAGAAGAAGATTGTGATTGTCAATTTCATTGGTGTTGTGAAGTTCGTTGTAAACGTTGTGTGAAAAAAGTTGAAAAACATTTTTGTAAATGAAATCTCCTGCTTTTTTTTTCTATTTATTCTCATTATGTCAGATTATTTGTTTGACCGAGTAACAGTTCAATTCATTTCTTTTTTTTTGCTATTTATATGTATGTTGATATTACTGCACAAAGAAAAAACGATTATTTGTCTATGCTTGATCAAGCATAAATTGAAACTTTTTGTTGCTTTTGAAATGTAATCAAGTAAAAATCCGGTCAGATAATCTATGCTGAAGGGAAAATACAGACATATGTATATACGTATGATCGTTGTTTTTTAATGAGCTTGACACACCTATAAATATTTGCTTAGGGATCATTATAATGACATATATATATGTTTGTGATTTAGATTGGTGTAAAAAAAAGTGAATCAGCAGGTTAATTTGTGAAAGATTACAGATGCGTACGATATGAGGGAAGAAAATCATCTGTTGAATTTTATGTGAGACGATTGAAATTCAAAATATAATAAAAAAGTTGATTATGTAAGTCTTTTATTGGAACTCAAGATATGATGATTGATGTATTCATTTAAAAAACAGGTAAATCATTACAATGGATGGATAGTATTTCGAAAACTTTGTACTATATGGAAAAAGTGTACAATATTATGATGTTTTATTGTAACAATCAACGATTTCGACAAAACACTGTTTATCATTTGTTTTATTATAAATTTTATAACATTCGATTGTTATATTTTCTCTTATGTCATACGATCTTTGTGTGTATATTTTTCAATTATTACCTAAACGATAAAAATGGGTATAATTATTCTATTAGTTTAACTGTAAATATGTCGATATAGAATTTTAATTGTTGACAAACTAACAATAAATCCAGAAAGAACAAGTTATAAGATTCTTTCATCTTGATTGATTGAACGTGAATTGTATTTCAAAAAGTAACTCTTTTTTTCGTATACATTTATTAAACAGACAAAAGAAAGAAAGATTGAATATATAGACAAGATTATGTTAATTGATGATGGAACTGCATCAGAGTATTCTTTCATGATTGACAGATTGTGTTTAATAGGAATACACATGAAATGATCAAAGCAGTAAAGATAACCCCCTATGGAGAATGATAAAGTGACAAAAATCTCTGCTTTTTGTAAAAATGTTAAAATCACTGTTTCATTCAGGTTCAGTGATGCCATCTGTCATAGTGAGAAAACCGGAATTTTAACATGAAAATCCGGAAAGGTTTTTAACAATTAATTTCTACCAGCTAAAATAAATTTCTCAAAATCTTGTTCTTAATTATACCACTTATTATTTCAAAAAACTCATATTTCTATATATCAAAATTCAAAATATAATAAACTAAATATATAAGAAGTATAAGTCACCGAGCCGCTGTCAAGTAAAAATTTTTTTATGAGTATTAACATATAGGTAAAATTTAATTCAATAAAAGTCATCTAAAATCCGGAAACCCGGAAAAATTCCAGAAAAAGTAGAAAAACCGGAAGAGTTGGCAACACTGTTCAGGTTTCTTTTTTCGGATGTGTGAATCGAAATTTCGGGTGGGTACCGTTCACCTGCTAGATAAAACACTGGTTAGAATAAATTCAAGAATACTTTGAAAATTGAAGTTTATTCTTCGTTTTAATTTCAAGTTGGATATACTTCTAGAATGGTTTCTTTTTTCAGTATTAAAAGCGATCGTCTTAATACAACATATATAGTGGCGGATTTAAGGAGGGAGGGGCGATTGCCCCTACCCCTGGAGGAGATGTTTTTGATTTTTTTACAGCAAAAATAAGTTCACACTATTTCGATTGGACTCAAAAAATAGTTTTTAGCTGAAATCGCCCCCGCCCCCTCCTACTCAGGTATCGCCCCTCCCTCCCAAAATCTGCCACTGAGCATATACTATTATAAAGAATTAATAATTCAATTCTTGTTATTAAGTAATATAAATAACAGTCGTCAAAAGCTGAAAACAGACTTTATCTTTACTTAGAACGTCTTGCTCGAGAAACTTTTTTTTTTTTGAATTCTATTAACTAATTACATGTATTCAAGTTTTGTCTTTCATAGAAAGATATTTTTATTTAATTTTCATTTGTTTTTTTTCAAATGATCATTCTATTCTATCAATATCAATACAAATGATATTCAAATAAATTTATTTTCTTTTCAAAGAAATAAATTCTATTGAACGTTTGTTTTTTTGTCAGTAAACAAAAAAAATGAACACAAAGAGTAGAATAATAGCGAGTTTAACAAAAAAAACTGTTTGCGCATTATCTAGAAACAAATACATTGTGGTTATTTTCTTTTCCCCAAAAAAATAGACACGCGCGATATAACGGACATTAAAAATAATAAAATGAAAAAAAAAAAAGAACCAAGAAGATCTTCATTTGAGTCGAAAACACAGAGAATGTCAAATGCATTTGAATTTTCTCTCTTATTATCTTCATAGAAACGATGTATCACAAAAATAGTAGTGATGAAGAAACAAGTCGTGTGAACAATTTTTACTGTTAAAGGAAGTAGAAGAAAAAAAAACATATCAGTCAACGAATGTTATCGTGATCCTGAGACATGGTGACGTCGAAAATATCTTTATCGTCAATATATCAAGAAGAAGATAATTCTTTTGTCACCATAGAATTATGCGTATTTTCATAATAATTATTATTTTTATCATTCTTTTGTGGTGCATTTGTTCTTGGTGATGAAACTTTAACAAATGGTGCCATTAGAAATAATGCAAGTAACATTAATATTAACCATTGTAATCCATAATAAAATAATCGACATCCAATTGTAAATATATTCGTATGTCGATTTTCTTGTTTAGTTTTACTCTGTTTAAAAGCATCATAATAAATATCATTTAATTGTTCACCAGCTGAATCCCATGAATGTGTTAATGCTTGTTGTCGTGCTTTCGTCGATAAATATTTACGATCTTTTTGCATCGTCGAACGTATTGCTTCTTCAGCTGAATCTAAATCTTCTGGTTTCCATAAATAACCATGTTCACCAATAAGAAAAAATTCTTTTAATTGTCCACCTTCAGCTGCAATAACAGGTGTACCACTAGCCATTGCTTCTAAATAAACTTGTCCGAATGTTTCACTAACAGATGCATATAGAAAATAATCAGCACTAGCATATGCACTTGCTAATTCTTCACCACCAAGATAACCAAAAAAATGAACACGATCTTTAGGAAATATTGGTTCAAGTGTTTGACGATATGGACCATCACCGATAATACATAAAAATGTTTGATTTGGTATACGATCTAATACAAGTGATAAAAATTCAAAATTTTTTTCAGGTGATATTCGACCAACACAAAGAAATAATGTTATAGAATCCATTTGTTCTTCACTATAATTATTATATGTACCAAACATACGATAACGCATTGAACGTGAACGTTGTATTGGATTAAATAATTCCGAATCAACACCAGTTTTCCAAACAACAACTGGTTTTGGTATACCAGTATGTTCCATAAAATCAGCAAAGTCTTTACTAACTGTTAAATTTATTGAAGAAAAAACTAAATGTTTTAAACGAATATATTGATATAAAGATCTTGTGAATTGAACAGCAAAGGAACGAATATATGTTGATAAATAAAAATCTATATTTGTATGTGATGACCAAACTATCGGTAGATTAAGTGATTTAGCGATGGCACCACAAAGCATAGCAGCTGGAGTTTGTTCAACAATATGAACAACATCAGGTGAAAATCGACGAATTGCCGAATATACCATTGGCTAAATGAAGATTATAATAGATAAAAAGAAAACTATATAACTAATTGGAATAATTTGATTCTGAAGAAATATGAACCGACCTTACTTCTGATAAATTTTATAAAAATACTTTACAAATAGACAATTATCTATGATTTCTTATTATTTTTGATAATTACAAGTTTCATCTTTCTAATGATGAAATTTCAATAAATATATATATAACATTAAATTAAAAAATTTCTTTTTCTTATTAATATCGATGATTTTTCTTTACAAAAAAATAAACAAACGATTAATTATCGTTTATTATGTAAACGATTGCATTTTCTTTTCTTTGCTAAAGGTAATCGTCGTTTACTTTTTTGTCTTTTCTCTTCAACCCATAAGATGTTTATCTATACGAAGTACTTCAGTAGAATATATATTCCGTTCGGGGTTAAAAGAACGGTTTGTAGAAATAATAATCAATGGAGAAAGTATAAAAAAAATCTATCTTTATTTATTTTAATTCAATCATAACTATCCCATAAGCAACTTTTGTTTTTTTAGTCTAAGCATATTTTACAGTCATTGATATATAAACCACAATATATTATATTTTATGCCTGAATGCGCAAATATTTATAAAGAGGAATAGAAAAAAAAATCGGATGGCCTTAATCTATTCCTATTAATGTACTTACATTAGGAAAAAGAAATGGGCAAGCACAATCAATCTTATTTGTAAAATCTGTTGATGGTAAAATTGAAAATGTCACGTGTTCTTCAAGTAATTCATTTCCTTCAACCCATAAAAGAGCATTCTAAATAAAAAGATTGATTTAAGCTTAAGAATTGCAAATATTGCATTATACAATGATTTCTTTTCTTAAATCATTTAACTTACTTTACAACCAGTAATAACATGTATATGATGTTTCTTTTTAACTAGATGTCTGATAATTTCTTTAAATCGACGTGTAATACCACTTGTAAATGATGGAAAACTTTCAGCAAATAAAAGTATTCGTAAAGGTTCATCATGAGTGTAACCATTTGTGTAAGCTATTTAGAAAAAAAAGAGATGAAAATGTCAATTATGCAAAGATTTTTGTCTAATAGGTATAGTTATAAACAAATGAATATACCTCCGTTCGTTGTCATTTTAATGTTATGAATGGTTATGAATGTATGTATCTCAAAACAAATGAAATCATAGAAATTACTAAGAGAGAAAAAAGTACAATGAGACACTGTATTTATATGTCTCTTTCATATGGTCTTATGAAATAAGTATTCGAAAGCTAAAATTATTCTTTCTTTTTTCTCTTTTTCTTCTCGTTCTTCCTCTTCGTTCTCTCGTACATGAAACACTTCTTCTTACTCAACTATACGTATATGTGTTGTACAGCAACGAAACAAAAAGAAAAACAAATACGTTTTCATTATCCTACACGCTGAGCCATGATTACTAATTTTCTTTTTCTTTTTTCTTCTTTCGTTGAAATACTCACATTGATGACAATAATCGATCTTATTCGTTCGTTTCTCCACAATATTAGGTGTCGATGATTCTTCTATTGAAGAAACAGATGACGGAAAAAAAGTTGCAACTAATGCTGCACTAGAACTTGTTGTAAAATTAAATTTCCACCATGACGAAGGCGTTTCATACGGAGATGATGACGATGATGTTGTTGCAGTAGCAAATGACGATAACATTGCATTATATTCTTAAAATAGAATAAATATTTATTCATAAAAAAAAGAAAAAACGAAACTTCTATAAATAAATAAATCATGATGAATCATTCCGATCGCTCTTCAAAAATATCAATCAATGAATTTTTATTCTTATTAATTTATTATAATTAAAAAACTACATAGAAATAATTATCGATATAAAGTCAATTTATAATGCACTTACTCAACTATTCTTTTAGTTGTTCGATCCTATCAACCAAATGTCTTTTTACAGGTAGATGTCAGTATATATAGTGTACTTGAAATCAACAATTAAATTAAAAAAAGTAATAAAATATAAATGATATGCAGGAAAGTCAACTTTTACGTATTTAATGCGAACATGTTACGTACACATGTAAGTAACATGGAGGAAAAGAAATTTGCAGTTCCTAACACAACAGCCGGTACCGCTTATTAGTTGGCAAAGTATATAACCGCATGTCTCTCTTTATTCTTATTTTCCTTTCTATTTTTTTTCTCTTCTCTTCCATCTTTTCTTTATGTCATTGCAAGATCTTCTTCGTTATGTATGCGCTCGTATTACATAAAATTGTTCGGCTTTTTCCATTTTCAGAACGAACAGAAATCTAACACAAAAGAACATAGAAAAGAAAAAGAAACATTTACTAAAAAACAGAGACGAAAGAAAGACAGACAGAAAGAAAGAAAGAAAAAAAGAAAGGAAGAAAAAAACCCAAAAAGAATAAATACTATTACTAGTTCTATGTATGTTGTCGTCGATCAAATGTCAAATGTTGCTAAGATGAAAAAAAAAAACTTCAGGGACAAAGAAATAGAACATATATTTCTTTACAAATCAACTAAAGTATAATTATTATTGTTTATTTACAGATTCTAGGTCGATCAAGTTCTGTTATTTTGCCTATTATTATTAATATCAGATGAAATCTGCAATCAAACGTAAAAAAAATATTCATTATATATATTTTTCTCGTCAATATAATGAACAACACTCTTCAAGGTTTTATTCATTTCTCTAAGTACTTGATATAATCTTTTATTAATTTTCAAAAAATATTGTATACAAAAAAACTTTTTCTTTCGTTTACATTTTATTACTTTTGCTTATAGACACATTCTTATTAAGTATTATAATATCTAAAACAATCTATCACGTAAAAAGACATATATGTAAATATTCTTAACGAATCTTCTCATATTTCTGTCAAATAAAAGATTTTATTTCACTTTTCTCATTATCAAGCAGCTTAGATCGAAATAAAAAAAAGAAATACAAAAGCAAGTAGACAAATATAGACATTGGATTCAAATTGTCAAATAATAGCAACAATATAATATGAAAAATAATTTCATTTTTCGAAAGAAATGATACTTCAACTAAATCGAGTTCTGTTTTTTTTTATAATACTATAATATTGTGTATTTAAGATAGGTTTTATCAGTAAAAAAACACACCCATCGACCTTAATGGTTTAAAAAAACAATTTTGCCTAACGATCAAAAAAACAAATATAAAGCAGTCAACATAATGTGCATAATACGTATATTTACATATTTTCTTATAGTATTCATCGAGACATTTATTTTCTTCGCTTGGGTTTTTTTGTTTATTTCGTACTCTACTCGGAATAAAAGCGATAATTATGAAAGAAAAAAGGCGTAGGCAAGGATGTAGACAGCTACGTTTATACATACATGAAAAAGAAAATCTTTGTATAGAACAATGTTTAAAATCTTTAAGATTAATCATATGAAATATGTCTAAGCATTTTCAATGAATAAAAATAAAAAAAAGAATTATTATATAATTTTTTGTCAAAAGTAAATTATAAAAAAGCTAAATATTCATTCGTTAATGCAGTTTTGTTGTACAAGTAAACAGCAATCAATCATAGAGTAAGACCTTTAGGCATAGTGAATAAATGCACTTCCAAACAGATCTCTTCTATAAGTAGAATGCTTTGAGTACAAGAACAGAGAATGTAGTCGATATGTAAACTTACGATGAATAAACCGATCGATGATTAATATGTATGAGTTATTATAGTACAATATAATGACAGAAAACATGTGCGAACGATAAAGTTTTCTCTCTCCCTTACAAACATATGAATATATCCTTGATCAAATATCAATTCATCATTAACTTTCAAAATAGTCGAGACAGATTATTTCATGAAGAATCGAAAGCTTATTTTTAATAGCTATTAATTATGATAAAATTTTACATATGCTAAATTAGAAACTTTTTTAATTATTAAATAACAAAAAATTCAATGTGTAAAAATGTTATTTTGTAAATTGCGATATACCGTGAAAAAAAACTAGATGATAATTATTTTAAGGCAAAAACAATAGATCCATTAGTAGATATGTTTATCACTAGAGATGATTAATTTTCAAGGGAAAAAAAATCTAATGGTTTTACCATACGTGATCAGAATTTTCGATCATCATATACTTCTAACAACTGTTTTTCTTGCTCTTTAGAATCAGTTTCCCCTAGATAAATATGACTTTTACTGGTAGATTTTTTCAACATATAGAATATGAATAATTAAGAGACAAACAAAATATATATTAGTCAAATAAGAGTAAATAGACCGCATACAGGATAATTAATGTCAACTAGGGATTAACATGTGAACTGGATGACAAAAAAAACCTTTTTTTTTGTTTCAATTATATTTGTACGTTTTATCTTTATTCATATTTAAAAAAGAGATTTATTACTTGTCGATTCTATTTAGACATTATACGATAGAATAGCTAGAGAAAGCCGAAGATTATTTAGCATGTATGAAATACATTAGTCAATGCTATCTTTTATCAAAACACTTATTTATATTATCGGGTTAAATGGTCGACGTTGTATATTATGACCTAAATGTAGATAATTTGTCTATAAAAAAATATATCACAAAAGAAACTTAACAAGTTATTTAAAAATCATAATTATTATCCAAAATATGTTTGTTCATTTTCAAGTAATATAATGAAAATATTAAAAACACATTTATATCTATTATATGTTACTCATCTAACAAAATATTCTCATTTATCATTATCTATAATGTCAAATAAATTAGTTTATATTGATCGAATACGTACTTTAGTTGATATTGATATTAATTCACCATATTGTACTAACCAGTTTATGGAAATAATCAATTTATGAGCTTCCGTTTTAAAATTGTATATAAATAATAAACAATCATTTCTATGTTTTGATTCTAGTATTTTAAATTACTTCGACAAATTCTCCTAGGTTCAATGTTTTGATTTCTCAATGGATTCAAGATTAACACAAACGAAAACAAATTTTCATTGCTTTTATTATTGTTTTTTCTATTTCTAATATCTTCTATATAAGTCTTCGATAAAATCAATATTATACAAATAGTTTCGGACAATATATAACTCACACTGAAACATCAGCAGGGGCTAGGGGGCGCGTGGGATGTCATGCCCCCCTGCTTTGGAAAATTTTTGTTTTTTTTGATCAAAAAATGGTTGTTTACGTGTTTTTTGGTATTAGATTCAAGCAAAAAGAATGTCGCACCCCCCTGCCTTGGAGACTTCGCTATGCCCCTGAATATCAGCTTAATATTCTATGAGATTTTCATACAATCACTCCGAGTTTCAGATGTTCAGACATCGAAACCTGAATTGATAGGACACATAATCTTATCCCAGATAAATAAATGTAAGTGAGATAATCGATTGTAAAAGCTCTACAATTAGTCACCAATTTCTATAATCTAGGATAATAAAATATAAATTTTGTTTTTTCTATCTATGATTAATATTTAAATGTAAATAACAGCTTTTTTATTGATCATTTATTATTTATTATTTAACGGAAAATACAAGATTTAATTATATGATAATTCATCTTATTTTCAAAAACATGATATATCAAAAACTATTTTATAATATGATTGCAAAACAAGATGAAAAATTATTAGTTGAAAATTACATCATTAATCATATAAGAAATTTATTTTCTCTAGAAAAAAACGACGTCAACTTTATGTTTGAAAAGTTTGAATAACTAATTCTATATATTTTTTTCTTTTCACTAAAAAACATACATATATTAATTAATGATAGAGGTCACTATTTGTCATTATAGAAAAAGTAAAAACCCAATGATAAGGTTCAATTGGTTGATAAGTTTGACCGTTTGATCTGGCAGATAGGACGAGTTACTTGCTTGTTTGTCAACAAATGTTTGAAGGGTATCGTATGTTTCTGATACAGAATAATATTTAAAATTATTATGGAACCAGAAATTGATGAGGATGAAGATGATCTTCGTTCCTTATCTGAACGTATTTTACCTTTAACATCGGCATCTTATACAAATAATAATATATCTCCTCGAAATAATAATAATAATCGTATTCGTTCATTAAAACCACAAAAAAGTATTTCATTTGATAATCAATTTTATCATGAAGAAACTTCTTTACCAACAACAGTAAATACAGGTGATATTATACAAATGAGTGATGGAACAAGAAAAAAATATAATGGTTCATCATGGCGTCGTATGTGTTCGAAACCTAATTGTACTTATTATACACAAAGTCAAGGTTTATGTAAACCACATTTAGCAGCTTCTAAAAAACGTAAAATAACTAAAATTGATAATGAATTACCGACAATGATTGATCAAACTTCTTTTGATCAAGAAGAACCTAAAAAAGGTGATATTATTATTTTATCAAATGGTATTCGAAAGAAATATGATGGACGACAATATCGACGTATTTGTGCTAATTCAAATTGTACTGCAGTTGTACATGGAAGTCTTGAATATCAAAATGGGTTTGTATTATTCATATTTCATTCTTTCATTTTCTATATTTATTCTTTTAGTTTATGTCCATATCATTTTCAAGAAATTCGTTCGAAACCTTTAAATCAATTTTCACCATTATCTAAAAGTGACCAAGAACCATTTATTGAACCTCGTACTCCACCTAAACAAACTGTGATCTCATCTTCATCACGTAAACGTCCTCGACCAAATTCTCCACCATCTCGTAATCCATCTCAATCATCAACATCTGACATAATAAATAAAAGTTCTGTACCAAAACCTAATCGTCGTTTATCAATAGCTGTTATTCCACCAACAGTTGATATTGAACATCCAAATAAAGGTGATATTATAGAAATGGAAAATGGTTCAAGAAAAAAATTTGATGGAGTTGTTTGGCGTACAATTTGTTCAATGCCAGGTTGTTTCATTGCTGCACAACGAGATGAATTATGTCGTAAACATTTTATTAAACTTAATGGAAAACCAAATTCAGCACCAACAATGGCAATGAATATGATGAGTTCAGGAACAATGCTTACTCCGAGAGCAAATAGTACTTCATCAACAGATGAAAAATTAGGTAATTGCAAAACATTATGAAATATCTATTCTTTCTAATCTACAAACTTAAACTCAGCTAGTAAATGTTATAGAGAGTTAGATAATATTCACAAAGAATCATTTTCTTCCCATCAGCAATACTCGCTTTTAACTGATCTTATTCAAATATTGCTGAATTAGAAAATCTCGAAAAGAACTTTTCAACAGAAAATCTCTTCGAAATGTTGAATTATTTTTTTCTCTAAAATAACATATTTATACGACTAATAATCTTATTCTTGACATACTTCCAGTCGAGACTTTCCTTACAGAATAAATTGTATATACTTACAGCTTCTTTTTCAAATTTCTAACTTATTTTAAAACTTACATATTCATTTCTATATGTGTAGCCAGGAAACTTGAACGTTAATTTTTTAAAAAGAAGTAATAGTAATTTTCTAAAAAAGCTTTTAAAATTATTTATCATTGTTCTACACAAAATTGTGATCTCATAGAATTGCTTAGAAGGCTGGATACTATTTGAATTCAATTAAATAATTCTTGCTCTTTTATTAATATTTAATGTATACTACATGACTGTTTAATTTATTTTAGACGATCAAAACTCAAAAATGGGAAAAGATCTTATTTCAAACGTTAAAGATGAATCTTTGGATTATGATTATAATCAACAAGAAGAAACAAATAATGATAATATATCAAACAGTTATAGTGTTTCAGGTAAATTTTCTTTTCAATTATTTTTTTACCACATGTAGATATATATTTTTATTTTTTTCAGATGATGATGCACATATTAAAGAAGAAATCTCATCTCCTATCGAAGATGATAATTTAGGTACACATATAGATCATACGTTGATTAATGCACTTTCAGCAAGTCGAGAAAAGTTTCCAACAAGTAAAATTAATCTTTTATTTCTATTAAATCTAAATAGTTGCCTGTCTGTTTTTTTTGTTATTTAGCATATTTAAAAAAATGGCTTCGAGAACATCGTAGTCATCCATATCCAAGTAATCAAGAAAAAATACAGTTAGCAAAACAATCATCAATAACATATGATCAAGTAACAACATGGTTTAATAATGCGCGAGCTATTCTTCGACGTCGTCAAGCTAAACTACAACATTCATTTGACCCTGTTGCTGATGACAATGACAATGACAATGATAATGATAATGATCATGATAATGATACAGATGATAGTAATAGTATATTTAACATTTGAAACTATTTTAAAAAAATCTCTTTTTCTTTTAGATCATCGATTATTATCTTTATTTAATGGTGTTAGTTGTCGATCAATTGGTATACAATGTAATCCATCTACAGTTGATCAAACAACATTAACATCAACAAAAATATCTGTAATGACAGATGATGAATTAACATCAGATCGTACGATAAAAATTTTAACACCATCAAGTCGAGTTTTAACAACAAATAATTTTAAAAAGACGAATAGTCATGAATTTTTAATAAATGGAATTAAAACTGAAGATGATTATGAACGTGAAAAAGATATTATTATTACAAGTACTTGTCTAGATGATGATCAAATGGTAAGAATAATTTTTAAGATTGAAACGAATACTTAAACATTTAGTTCTAGAGAAAATTTATTGTAAATTCTCATCATAGATAGTTTTCACAGTTTCCTTTAAAAAGGATTATTCATCCATGAAAAATAGTTTTTCAAGATGAATCATGTAAGATTAGGGTTAAAAGAACACATGTATAGAATTTTCCAGAAGAGCACAGAGAACATTCTTTCAAATAGAATGTGACTCTGAGTGCTGTTAATATCATTAACCATATCATATTCTACTTTTACTCAAAAACAAGGCATTAGATTAGTTTTCTTTTTACGGAAACAATTATTTTATTTTTAATATTTTAGTCACGTTTAAAAGAGTTTTGTTCAAAATTTCAAATTGAATTATCGAATAGTGTTGATGAAAATACGACACATTTAATTACTGATGAAGAAGAAGGTGAAACACTTGTATGTCCATTATCAAAAAAAGTTATTCAAGCAGTTGCACGTCATATGTATGTTGTTACATATCGATGGATTGATGATTGTTTAAAATCTAATCAATTAATCAATGAAAAACCATATGAAATTCAAGGAGATTTAACACTTTCATCTGATCATAATGGTTTGTTATTAGAAAATAATTGAATTTGAATTTCATAGTATTTTTTCTTTCTTAAGGTATGCAACGAAGTCGTCAAAGTATTTTACCAGAAAATTTACCAAAAAATCTTTTACTTGAAAATTTTTCTGTTATGTTAAAATGTAATGGTTGTCAAGAAATGATGAATAATGATGAATTAATTGAATTAGTTCAATTGTCTGGTGCTAAACATACAACTGATTCACATTTTTCACGTTTACAAACACATATAACACGTATTGTTCTTTGTGAAAAAGAATATTTAATCAATCGACGTGAAATGTATGAAAAATGTATTCATTCTGGTATTCATTTTCTTACTCCTGAATGGTAAAACAAATTGAAAATATTTCAATTGAAATAACTTTATTTTTTCTTTTTAATTTAAAAATAGGTTTCTTGAATCACTTGTTCAATATCGTATTCAACCATTTCAAGAATATCAAATATCACCTTAAAAACTGCGATAAAATTTCTTGTCTTTTTCTTCTTGTTGTCAGATTAAAAACAAAACGGAATTGTTCTTGTATTCTCTTTAATGAAAAAAAAACGAAACAAATTCTTCTACAAATACTTTTTAGGATTATATATTCGATAGAATGTCAGAAAGAATTGATAATTTAAATCATCATTTTATCAATTATGATCTTAAGAAAAAAAACAAACTAAAGTATATTCAAATCAGATTAATTAAATTTCAATTCAATACGATATGAATTTATTTCTTGTATAAAAAAGCAAATCTTCATATCAAACCAAATTTTAAAAACTTATATAAACATGTGATCTCGAAATTTGATACATATCGTTTATTTTTTTTCTTGTTATATCGATGTCTGATATTAATGTAAACGCATGTCATGTTATCTAATCCATAAATCTAGGGTTGAAATATATATTCATGTACTACTTAGTAATATAGATGAAAAACATAAAAAGACTATGACATTAGACAACTTTTTGCGTTGTTTCAGTTTTATGATAAGCGCACTCAGTAGTATTAAAAGAATCTTGACATCGTCATGTATTAATAACATCATTATTTACTCTAACAACACACTTAAAATTGCATTTCTGACTATGTTTTAAATATTTCATTATTAAAGTTGTTGCGAGAACCTCAAATATAAATTATCAAAATAATAATTTCGTGATAGATATCTCTTTTCACAATCTCATATTTGTATAACAGAAAATTTTAATTTTTCTATTATTAACTTGTCGTTCATCGTATTTAAATATATATATTTATTTTATGTAAGATTTTACTACTGAAAACACTTGTTTTTTTGTCATATTGATGTAAATTCTCATCTTCTAAATTGTTCATTCAAGCATGTTCTTGTTGTATAGAAAATTAATTAATTTGCCAGGTCATACTAAATCTAATATAATCGGATGACAGTTTTTTTTCTTGAAATTTCTTTTTAATATCTTCGGAAAAAAATATAATCAAAATATTAAAAAATAAGATAAATTATCCGATATATAACAATTTACCCTACTCGTAATGAGTCTCAAGAAAAATATTTTTAGGAAACCTAATAAACCAATTTGTTTAATTTCTATTATCGGATAATTAAAGTTTAATCGTTGTTATATATGTATTTTATTATTTTATAATATATTGACAATTTTGAAATGTAATTTATTAAACAGATGGGAAAGAATGATTGAATAAATATATAATTTCGTCTTTCATTCAATGTCTGTTTATCATTCATTATTTGAATAGTATTACAAAATTTATAAATGCGTGTGTACATTGTCATGAAAAAATAAGAAATAATTTTTAAGAAAATTAGTTTTTTTTCCTCTTAGTAGTATTAGAGATGTTGAAATGTCAAGTATTGCTAGTCCACTCTTTACGCATTTTCATTCATGTTGTTTTTTTTCCTAACTGAAAGATTGTTCGTCGAAGTTCTCTCAAATAGTTGCGTGCGTCAACACCCCCGTTTCCATCTCTATCTCTGTTTAGTCGCATCTTGTTGTCTGTTCTCTCGAGCTTTTCATCATCATCATCATCATCATCATCGTCATCGTCATTCTTCTGTGTAGTTCGGAAATATGGTGCTGTTGTTCGTATGTGTGTCTATGCATGTTTGCGTGCATACGTTGTAATAAAAAAAAAAAAAGAAAGGAGAAAAAACGAACCCAGACAGTCGGAGATGAAACAGGAAAAGAAAAAGAAAAAGAAAAAGAAAGAAAAAAACAAGAAAAAAAAGTATATATTGACCTCATTTTTTCTCCTCCAGTACCCCCGATGCACTAGATGAAGACCTTGTTGATCTTACATAGCTAGATCTTTTGAATTTCGAAATCAAAAAGTACATCCGCCTATATCTCTATATATTTAATATAAATATATATATGAAAATAACGAAATATTATACAAAAAAATTAATATAAGTTGATTTAAGAACTTTTTTAAAGAACGTAAGCATTCCTTGTTTTTTTCTCGTCTCTTTTTCTATTCTATAAAAGAAAAAAAAATGAACTAGACTGCTATGTTTTTCAGTCGTTCAAATGACACAGATACTTTCTGAGTTCAAGGACATAATCAGTGAGTAAGCAAAAAGAAAAAACTAATATATATATATGTGGTAAATTCATCATAACAATAGTAATATACAAAAAGAATATTATTAAGATTAGATTACTTGTTTTTTTTTACTTGAACATAGCAACAACAAAACTTTTTTTTAAACAATAACTTAGGTAAGACAATTATTATTATGCTTTTCTTTTGAAGTTCATGAGAAATAATTTGTTTTCGGTTCGTTAGTTATTTCTAATGATAAATAACAGGAATGTTTTTTTTTTCTGTACTTTTGATCATTAGAAGGATACAAGTAAAGTACTGGTGACCTGGGAATATCTATTTTACAAAAATCTTTTTGTTCTCTATAATCAATTAGTTACGGAGATTAAGTTTCATTGTTACTTCAAGCAATAATAATAGCAATAATGAGTAGGCGTATCAGAAGACTAACGCATAATAAAATTTATTTTAGCAGGTTTTTCTTTTAATTTTTATTGTTAAACGAAATACTTTATTTTGTTATATAAGAAAAATAAGATTATGAATTTTCTACACACATAGATTTTTTTTAACCTATTTAAATGGAAATACATTTTTTTTCTCTCAGTATTACATAATCATTTTCAGACTTGATGAATCGATCAAAAAACTTTCTAGTAAAAAACTAATGTTGGTAAAAAGAAACCGATGAAAACTCTTGTTACATGTTTTGTTTATTTAATATAACATCATTATTTTCTTATTACTCCTTTTACTTATATAAATTCCAGTGCAATAAAAAAACCAAAGGAGTTAAGACATAAATACAGAAGAGCGTAGGTGTATCTTACGATTATAGTTGTCTTTATATGTGACATTCGATGCGTTTTCATCTCTTTTTTCCGTTATTATCGATGTCATATAACGACGATGTAAAAAGCTGAAAAAATGTTTTATAGAATTGTTCTTGGTTAAACCACATTGAAAAGAAAGGAAAAGATTTTGCCCGTTTCCTTTCTCTTTACATTTCTTTTTTTTTTCTGTGCCGCTCTCTCTCTCTCCCTCTCTCTCTCGCGATCTGCCTTTTTCAGCAGTAACATATGCACGTATACTTGAAAATTTTGCGCAAACAAAAATACACACATTTTTTTACAGAATATAATAGAGGTAAATGTAGTGCTTTTTTTCGTTCTTCCGTTTTAAATAAACTTTTTATTCCATATTGTTTACAACGCTCCGATAGTTTTTCGCTAATTAAACGACACGCAGAACAATGACGTATTGATGTAGGAGACATCTATTGCGTGCATTTGATGTTTTTTTTTCCTCTCTACTTTAGATGTTTAGCGAGTCACCATTATCATCAGTTCCTCTTTCGATTCCATCAGACTTATCTATTCACCATTCACCGACGTCATCAGTATCTGCATCACCATTATCATCAACAACTCATTCACGTCGATCAACAATAACGTCAAATAGTAGTCAACTAGTTGGTATCTCATCTACAAATCAATCCAATCGACAAATGAAAATAGGAAAATATTTTCTTGAACGAACAATTGGTAAAGGCAATTTTGCCGTTGTTAAATTAGCTACACATTGTGATACACATCAAAAAGTAAATGATTTAGAAAAAAAAGAAAAGATTTTCTAAATATTTATTTTGTTTGTTTTTGATTTTTAGGTAGCAATTAAAATCATAGATAAATCACGTTTAGAACCAAATGATCATAAAAAACTTGAACGTGAAATAGCTGTTATGAAATCATTAATACATCCGTATATTATTCGTCTTTATGAAGTATGTCACAGGAAAAAAAAACCATAGAAATTTATTTTTTTATTTATTATAAATTTTCATAGGTAATGGAATCAAAAAATCTCATATATTTAGTAACAGAATATGCATCCAATGGTGAACTTTTAGGTAAATTAATTTTCTACAAATCAAAATTATATCCTTTTTTTTCTAGATTTACTTCTTCGTGAGAAACGTTTAAGTGAAGCAAAAGCAAAAGAAAAATTTCGACAACTTGTATTAGCTGTTGAATATATTCACTCCAAAAATATCGTATGTTAATAAAATATACTTTAAATTTTAAAATAATTTATGTGTTACTTTTATTCAGGTTCATCGTACGTTACACATCTTTATAATTATCATATTATTTTTATTTATCATTACACTTTAGGGGATTTAAAAGCAGAAAATTTACTATTGGATAGTCATGGAAATATTAAAGTTGCAGGTAATATATGTTTATTTACAAAATATTTATGAGAACTTTTATCGAAAAAAAAAACTATATTAGATTCTTCTTCTATTCATTGGTCTAATCTCATTAGATTTGTTATCCTTCAGTTGTAATAAAGTTAATGGTTATGATATGCTTGAATGAAAAACAGCTATTATTCATGTTTACTGATCCACTGAGGATAAGTAATATAAATGAATAAGTTCATTTTCTATATCGAAAAAAAAAATATTCATTTCGAATTGTTTCGGTACCTTATCGATATAAGAGTAACTGATAATAAAAAACTTCCGTCAGTATAATATAATTAGAATATAGGTGCATATTCTCAAGCTATTTTATTAAAAAATAATATCAAAATGCATACAATCAAGTGAAAATCCGTGTCTATTTCAAGCGTTGGAAAAGACGCGGAAGGAAACTGATAAAGTTGCTAAGTGCATTTCACTCAGCAAATGCTTAATGTACTTTTATTCATTTTAAAATTACTAATAGCACTGTTCTTTTCACTCTGAATTTATTGTGTTTTTTTTTATTGAAGATTTTGGTTTTGCTAATATTTTTAAACCAAATTCAAAGTTACAAACATTTTGTGGCTCACCACCGTAAGAAATCAAGATTGTTTAAACATATATATATACATGAGTATCTGTATTTTAGATATGCTGCTCCTGAACTTTTTCAGTGTCTTCCATATTTACCTGAAAAAGTTGATGTTTGGGTATTAGAACAACAAAAATAATTAACGATCTATAAACTCTTTTATTTTTATATATTATAGTCTCTTGGTGTTCTTCTTTATATATTCGTCTGCGGTCATTTACCATTCGATAGTAATAATCTCGCTGAATTACGAAAACGTGTTCTAGCTGGACAATTTCGTTTACCATTTTATATCAGTTCGGGTAAATTTTTATTTTCTTTTAATAATAAATTTATTTTTGGTTTTTTCTTTCTTTAGATTGTAGTTCTTTAATTAGTCATATGTTAACAGTTGATCCTGGACAACGTTATACTATAAATGATATTAAAAATCATCCATGGTTACAAATAAATAATTCAGATATATCTCACATATTAACATCTCAAGCACAATCAATACCAAATATTCAATTAACAAATACTATATTAGATCATGCAGAATCACTTGGTTATAATCGTACACAAATATTAAAATCAGTTAATGGTAATTCATATGATAGTGATGCTGCTATATGGCATTTATTATTAGAAAAATTCCAACAAACATGTCAAATAAATAGTAAATAAATATATATATTTAATTCCTACGAATACGTATGTTTTTCCATTTATAGATTCTCAGATTTCAACTGAACAAACAAATAGTTCAAATTTAGCTTATTGCATACCATATAAAGTAAAATTTTATTTTTTAGAAAATAAATAAATTCAATTATTTGTATTCTAGAATGAATCTATACATCGATTTGATCCAAATATTCATATTAATTATGTCGAATCTTATTCAGATGATGAAGATGAAGATGAACACACATCAGATCAAATACGTGAACAATATACTCAATTACATGGTTTACGACGTCATACAGTTGGTCGACCAGATTTACTTGTACATAATAAAGTTATTCCAACATTGACATCAGAAAATCGATATCCTCATCAATTATCAACTATTGAACCATCAGTTTTAACAAATCAACTTAATTATCTTCAAGAACGACAAAAATATGAAACATTACGTATTCCAAATGCTGATGATGATGATAATAATAGTTGTTATTCTCAACCGCAAACATCAATTTATCATCAACGAAATAATCCACATTCAACAAGTTATAATGGTTTATCAGTACATTCACCTGTAATGACTGTTTCTGACACTTATAATCAACAACAACGAACTAATCAATGGTTATCACCACCTGTTTCCAATAATTTTCGTATGTAGTGTTAAAAATAGTTATATTACCAAAGTTTTTTTGACTGACAGTAGAAAATAACCATTATTAAGATCGAGGCAAAAGTAATAAAACATAACGCAGATAAGAATAAAGACAGACAACATTATCTGAAGCAGAACCAGAAACTAAATGTCAATAAAGAGAAGTTAATATGAAATATTCATAACATCTCTGCTAAAACATAAAACACCCATTGACAAGAAAAACAAGATGTAGAACGTTTTTTTTTGCTAAAAATTCATACGGGAATAAGAAAATGACCTTGGATAACAACAAAACACTATTTTTGATATTTTCAAGTGACTATTATAATAATTAAAATTAAAAATTTTCCAAGAGAAAAGAAATGAATATATAAAGGCTTCTTTTTTAATAGATTTAAATCGACGTGCAAGTGATAGTGGTGCTCATCTACTACTATTTCAACAACAATATGGCGTAAGTGGTTCAAATACAATTGGTGCTGTTCGACCAACACAATTACAATCTCCGATATCAAATGTAAAGAAATAAAATTAGAATAAGACATAAAATTATTCTTGTAATATTCTAGCGATCATCACGTGGAAGTATTACACGTGGTGCACCAATAACACCACCGACATTTTCTATAACACCCGATGAAACAGAAGAGAATGATGATGAAGAAGATGACGAGAGTCTTGCAAGGTAAATTAAAATTAAGAGAAAAAATAAAAATAAGAAATTTTATTCATTTCTAGATATCTTAATCGTGGTAAACGTCATACTGTATGTGAACAAGGTTCATTACTTGGTGGTAAAGCTCGTCGTGGTACTCGTGAAACAGCGAAAGAATGTAGTCCATTATCACGTCGTGCAAGTGATACAAGTTCAAATTTTATAAATAGTTCAACGAAAGTCTATCTTGAACGTTTATATCATAATACTGTTGGTTTAAAAATAAGTGATGATGATGATGTAACAACATCAAGTTTACAAGAATTACATAAACTTCAAAAACAAGTACAAAAAGTATATTCGATTGAAATTAATTAAACTAAAAAAATTTTTATCGATTATTTTTCTATTTTCAGTATCCAATGAATAATAATACGAATTCACCAATAAATCGACGAGCATCTGGTAAGAATCTTCAAAAGATAATTTAAATAAAAAAAAATTGTTTTTTCTTATGCAGCTGTTCCATCACCAACCAATTCCCTTGGTCTTCATATTATTCGAGAAGAACATCAACAAAATCCATTTCTACCAACAAGATTACAAACAAAATCTCCATCATCTTCATCATCATCGGAAGCATTGTATAATATTGATGATGATGATGATGAAATGGATTGTGAAGTTCATAATCATCAACATGCACAACAAAAATCACAATCACAACAATCTATTCGTCCACCTTATCCATTCTATCGAGTACCTTATCATCAACAAACACCCCCACCATATTACTGTAATACAAGTCCATTACTTGCTCAATATTTAGTCATCCCAACAACAACTTCTTCGTCTACGCCATAATCTCATTATTTGTTATTAATCTCGCCGGTGATCTTCTTCTTTCTGTTTTGTTTGATAGTGAATATTCTTTTTCTGTTTTTTTTGTTCGAATACGAAAATCAGTTTAAGAATCACGAACTCATGTTAAACATTATCATTCATATAAAACAATCTATACGTATTTTATTTTATGTATATATATATATATACTTTATTTTTCTTTTTTCTTCATCTGTTTTGTAATCTGCAGAGCAGTTCAATTATTTTGTCATTGTAATAAAATCTCACTTGTTTTCTTTTTTTTCTCGGTCTATTGAATATGTTTCATTGATTGTACAGAAAAGAAAAAAAAACTATTTTTTCTTATTTATTAAATGAAAAAACATAGAACAAGTGTACTTGCCCAATATTTATTAACGGAACTGAAATGACTCAGAACAAAATGACGTATATTTTTCTTTTCCTCCAATCATTGAAGGCTATACATGACAAATATTATATTATCTTACTGAAATTACGCAAGAATCTTTCATCATTTCTATATAAGAACGATGTATTTCGTTTCAGATACATCAAAATTTCGTGTGGGAGGCTTAATGGCATATAGCGATGTAGAAATACGCCCTAGTCATCTACCATTTGGTGCTATGGATCGTATAGATTTTATTTCAACAACAGAAGACATTGAGCCTTACTACAGTCGATCAAATAGTAATAGTAGTGATCAGGAAGTTTCTCTTGATAATGATATTATTATATCATCTGCAACATCAACAATAAGTGTAAATAATAATAGGTAAATTATTTCAAAGATAATATAATATCACGTTTTTTGTTTCTATTTTTCAGTACTGAAGAAAATATTTTTGATGAGGAAGATATTTTTGAATACTATACGCAATTTAGTTGGCCAAATGATAGTGATAATGAATTAGAATATTATTATTATGATGATAATAATGATGATTTATTTATTAATAATCATCTTAATCGAAAACAAATCAATTCAATTGATATATTAGAAGATAATAAATTTCAACGTACAAAACGTTCAAATAAAAAAATTAGTGCACGATGTCAGATTAAAACAAAATATGCTAAATCAATTAAATATAAATCACATAACGAACAATTATATATGCATCATAGATTATATAAACAAGTTCGACTTGATCCACCCAGTCGTCATTATATGCCTTCATCTTCAACAATTCCATCATATACACCTGAAGTTCTTCGAACATTCACAAACAATAATAATGACAGAGATAAACCGCCAGTAAATCGAACTACAACTACTAATACTGTTAATCAATTCCAAGCATATACAATTAATCCGCATAATATTCCAAATGAACCAGCTTTTGATGATGCTATGATAAATTTTCTACTGGATATGCAAAATCGTGATCTGTAAGTATCTTTTTCTTTATCGAAAATTAATTTTATTTATTTTGAGTTTTTTAGTTCTCCAAATGATTATGAAATGTTATTACGACTTGATGAACGTGTACAACGTAAAACAGTTAATAAAAATGTTTTAGATAAATTTCCAACTGTAACTGTTAATGATACACATTTAAATGAACAATGTACAATTTGTTTGGAAATATATAATCTTGGTCAACAACTTAAATTATTACCATGTTCACATATGTTTCATGTAAATTGTATTGAAACATATTTGAAAGAATTTTCTACACAATGTCCATTAGATAATTTATCGTTAATATGACTGATGAAAGGGATTTTTTTGTATTATTATATGAATTTAGTATATTTTTATTTTGAAAGAAAGTATTTTTTTCGATCAATTCTCTATTATATTATCATTCGAAGATATATTACTTTCGAGTTTTGAATGATTATAGGTCATACGGTTTAAATAATTCGATCTGGTTATTTTGATCTGTCTAATGTTGATAAAGACACACGGATATATGCATAGTTGATTTTTGAAATCTGATAAATATATTATTAGGACTAAGAAAAGTCATATTTCGTGAATAATAAAGTTTAGTGTTATTCTAACTTGTTAACCATGTGTTGTTCTTAATTCCATAGCAACAAGATATACTCCTAGGTGTCACTGTTTAATATTTGTTTGTTTATAAAAATTCAGCATATAATTTGAAGTACATAATTGTACAGTTTTTGTAAAGAATATTTGTTGAATGAATCATCTAGTCTTGGTTCTTATATTCAATCATTTATTTTTAATTTTAATATAATATTATTAAACGAAAATATATGTCTGATTATTATAGCGAAGATCAGTAAAAAATTAAGTAAGAAGAGGGTAGACCGATTAAAGGTACAAAATTATTCGATTTCTTAATGAAATTCCATCGTTTTTCTTATTTTAGTACTTATGAAATGCTATGTAATGAATATTAATTGAACTACATGCCATTAAACAAACAGAAGAAGATGTACAAGTAATATTAAAACGTGTTAATGAATCAGATATTGATTTTGAACCATCTGCATTATGAAATTGAGCTGCTAGATCTTTAAAGTAATTTATCTTTTTGTTTCTATCGCAAACTACGAAGAGATTATTGTAATTTTGTAGCTTATAGATTGATAAGTTCAAATACTTTAGTTTCAGTTCTTATTTTCACTGCAAAAATTACATTCTTTCAGAATAATCAATAAAATTCTCTTGATTACTTCATAACACAATCATTCATTTAAAAATTGTTTTAACTAAACAAAAAAAACAATTTATACTGTTTTCTTATAGATAAATCATGGATATACTTAATCCTATGACATATGATGTAGAAGAAGATAAATTACGTGAACATACGAAATATAATCAAATGGATAGACTTCTTCTTCGACTAGAATTTCAACAACAATTAGTATTAACTGATGTAAGCTATGTTTTTATTTATTTATTGAACTTACGCAAATACATAGATATTATTTTAGACAATAATTGTTGCTGTTGAATATGATGGTGGAGTTATCATCAGTGCTTATACACGTACTTCATCTGAGTATGAAGTTTTCATTTGAATTATCGATCTGGGAGTGCAGCGTATACACAAGCTATTGCACAAATAGTAACATATCAATTAGATTTTCTTTCGTAAGTCATTTTTTTGTTTAATGAAAGAAACTTATAGAAATAGTCGTTTTCGTCCAGACTGACAACGATGTTATTTCTACTTTCTCAACATAAACAATACTTGTGCTACCTATTTTTACTTCATAAAGTTTATCTATCACTAAAATATGAGAAAGGTGAATCTTTTTAATAGAATTTTTCAACGTTACAAACAAAGTATCACGTACAAAATATGTATCGACAATAAACATTCAATTTTTCTTTTTTCATGACAAAAATTAATGAATATTTATCGGATACTTCTGATAAGTATCTGCAGCATTGATCACGAACTAATTTACCAGTTCGTAAATTGACGAATTAAACGAGCGACTGTACCTTTTTTTAATTATACAGATCAGTTAAAAACGATGAGGAAGAAAACTAAAATAGACATAGCAACTATATCATCAGTGCTCACAAAAAATGAATCTCTAGAATTAATATTGCGCACCTAGACGACGAATGTTATGTCCTTATATGGGGTTATCCCGATAATAATTTTCATCTAAATATAACTAACCAAGAATGTTTTGATTTTGTATTAAAAACTCTGAAGAAAAATAAAAGTTTCTTTTTTTTAATTTAATTATGTTAATTTTAGGTATTACATTAACTATTATACGTGATGGTTGTGCTTGTTTTGCAATAATTGATCATAACAGTGTTGAACGTGTTGATATACTAGGAAATGATCTACCACAAGTTGTTGATCTTTAATAAAATTATAGTAATAGAAATAATTCTCTAAAATATCTTTTCCTCTTTTGGTATTGTTAATTTAAAAGTAATAAGAAAATGTGACATCTATATGCATTATTATTTGTTAATTAGATAGACCAATAAAATTCTGAGACGAATGTTCCATGTCTTTTTGATAAATACTGGATTTTTTGCCGACAATACTTTTTTTTCTAAGTCATTCTTATAGATTTTATTCATGGCTCGTTTGTCTATTATTTGTATTGGATTGGTTCTATTAGCAATTAATTGTTCATCGTTATTAAATATCGAAGGATCATCAAAACGTGTATTAGTACTTCTTGATAATTTGGCTATACGAGAATCACATTCATTCTATTTTCAACACTTAAAAAGTAAGCATAATAAACAGATAAATTTTAGTGCAGTTGGATAAAGAATAAGAATAATGTTCGCTTCTACATATTGGCAATCGAATGATGAATTTTATGATACATAGCTGTTCACATTCTGAATTTCTTTGATTGGAATATTTTGACTGACGATTGTCATTAGTAATCTTTTCTCATATGATAAATAATATAGAAGAGTTTGGCAATTCAACTAATATGTTAGTCATAATTACGTGCATAGATAGGACATGATTTTTGAATTTTTTCATACATATTCAATATAAAAACAGCAAGAGATATTAAAGAAAAACGTTTACTGATATGTTTTTTTTGAAAGTGTTGCACGATAGAGCAAACAATTGTTCAGAAATATGCTTGAAAAATCGAAGTAATAAGTCGCGTTTTCTGTTTAATCGAGTACTTTGAATGAATTCTAGACAATAGAACGAAGCTAAGTATACAAGATTATTAGTATTCGTTAAGTTCTAAATCTTATATGCACTTTATCTTTCATTTAGATCGTGGATTTGAGCTAACCTATCGATCATCAGATGACAGTACTCTTCAAATAGTGAAATATGGTGAATATATATATGATCATATTATTCTCTTTGCTCCTGCTACAAAAGGTAATTTAAACTTTGATTTTCTTTACATTTTCATCTAGTCAATATTTATATATTAAGAATTTGGTGGACGATTAGATGCTGAAGTTTTAACAGAATTCGTTGATGCTGGTGGTAATGTACTTATTGCCGCTAGTAATGTAATTGGTATGGTAAATCTATTTTTGTTTTACTGCTTTTATTTTCATAACAAAAATTTCAGGTGATGCTATTCGTGAATTTGCTGGTGAATGTGGTATTGAATTTGCTGATGATAAAAGTGCTGTTATCGATCATCTTAATTATGATATTAATGATAATGGACAAGTAAGAAGAATTATTTTTCATTAAAAAAAAATTTTCTATTCAATTTTCTTTAGCATACATTAATTACTTCTAGTCCAGATAATCTTTTAGCATCCGAATTAATAACTGGACAATGTAAAAAAGCTGGATTACCATTTCTTTTTCGTGGCATTGGGTAAAATGAAGATTTTTTTTATCGATAATTTAATTTCTTCCTCTAAAGTATGACATCTGATCAAGATAATCCATTATTATTCGATGTTTTAACTGGTTCATCAAGTTCATATACAGCTAATCCAAATGAACAAGCATTAACTGACGTATAAATATAATTAATATTGTTTTAATTGATTAATTTTAAAAAAAATGTATTTATTTAGTATCCAGCAACTGTTGGTAAACGAACATTATTAATATCTGCTCTTCAAGCTCGTAATAATGCTCGTGTTGGTTTTGTTGGTTCATTAGATTTTTTTAGTAATGATTTCTTTCAAAATTCCGTACAAACAAATAATGACAAAAAGTAAAAAAAAATTCTAATGAAGTATAAAATAAAAACGATGAATTTTTCTTCTAGAAGTATTAAATCTGGTAATGAGGATTTAGCTTTGGCATTAACAGATTGGGTATTTAAACAACGTGGTGTTTTACGTTCAAGAAATATTCATCATTATATGAAAGAAGATAAATCAACACCAAGTTTTTATACAATTAAAAATGATATTGTAAATAAAATCTTTACCAAATGTGTGAAAATTCGATTTTTTTTGTTATTAAGATATTCACTGTACATTTTGATGAATTTGTTCATGGTAAATGGATGCCATTTAATGGTACTGATGTTCAATTGGAATTTGTTCGTATTGATCCATTTGTTCGAACAACAATGAAAAATAAAGGTATGATAAATTATAAATTTGATTTATTTTATAAAATAAAATATTTCAGGTGGTCAACTTGAAGCAAATTTTCGTGTTCCTGATACTTATGGAATCTATAAATTTGTTATTGATTATAATCGTGTTGGTTATACAAATTTATTTTCATCAACACAAGTAAATTTTTACTAATGAATTATATTTTCTAAGAAGTAGTTTATTATTATTATTATATTTTTAGGTATCCGTTCATCCTTTACGTCATACGGAATATGAACGATTTATAACATCAGCATATCCATATTATATCTCATCATTTTCAATGATGCTTGGTGCTTTTCTTCTTAGTTTCATTGTACTTTATCATCGTGATGATACACCAAAAAACAAAACTGAATAAATAGCAAATCAGTGAACAAACACAAAACATTTCATTCATTCGTTCATTCCTTATAGGTGAATCTTTATTATTATGGTCCTCATCATCATTGTTGTTGTTGTTGTTGTTGTCATGTTATCGTCTTTCTTCATTTGATTTTTCTTTTTGCCGATCTTCATTTCTTTTTATAATGACTCTTTTCATTTTGTAGACTTTAGAATATCTGGTCTTGTATTTGTTGAAGAGGATTGTTTATCATGTTTGTTTTTTGTTTTGTTATTTGAAACCCAACTGAAAAAAAAATATAAACAAATCTTTCTCTATTCAAGTCATAGACAAACTTGTCTTCTTTTTATATTTCATTTACTTATTTACATACATTAAATTATGAGTTATCATTCAGAATATCAATACAAATATAGTCTATCGAAAGTCACTTATTTTAATAGAATTTAGAATATGAACAGTTTTATTATGTAATTAATCATATTATCAACGATAAAAGAAAATCTCAGAGTGTAGAATTAGAAATGTTAGTCACTATTCTGATGTATAATTTTCAGTATCTAAATTCATTTCTAAGAGATTTTTGTACTATCATCGAAAACTTTCATATATAAATAGATTTGTTTTATTAATTTTTCTATACTTTTTATAGATTAAGTTCTCTTTTCTTTTCTGTATTATTCTCATGTCAATTCTATTAAATTCCATCGATTGTCCATATTTAACAAATGATTGTCTTAATTATCTAAATGAACACTATTCAATCTATACAACAAATGAGTTCGCATTATGGTTAATAAAATCGAATGATAAAACTCATAATTTATCGTTAAAAACAATTGAATGTATTCAATCATGTATTATAGCTCATACTTGCAAACTTGAAAATCGTTTAATATTAAATATAAATTCATATAAATTAAATTATTTTATATTTGATAATGAAAATCTTTTGAAATCTAATCGTCATTTAATATTTATCTATGAATATTTTAATCAAAATCAATGGAATAAATTTTTTAATATATTTTTACTTCGTTTATTTCTTAAAAATTCATCAATTAAAATTAAATATTTAAATACAAATATAAGTTTATTTGATTTAAATTATTTTTATTATCATTATTGTCATTTAAATGAAAATATATCTAAACAACGAAATGAATTATTTGAAAAATATTTTTATTTTACTCAATGTTTTGATTTAGAAATATTCGAAAATGAATTAGATTTTATTGAAAATAATGAAAATTTTATTCAAATATTAATTATCGATGATTTTTTCTCATTAATTAAACCTTATTTAAATCTTGATAAACGTATAAAAGGAAAAATTCTTCAATTAACATACCGTCTAAATCGTCTTGCACAAAAACAATCAATATTAATTATAAATGGTTTAATATTAAATACAAAAAAACGTATAAAAAATTTCGATGAAAATTTTGCATTGAAAGATGATAGACGTTTTGATTCATTTCATGCTGATAAATATATTTTATTTCAATCATTAACAACAATAGAAAAGAATATTTATTTTACAATTATTAATGAGAATAAAGAAAATAATCAATTGATTAACTCAAATTTAGATCTTGATCAATGGATAGATGGTAAGTTTTTAAATAAGTCCTAAGGGTGGCTCAGTGGCGGATTTAGGGAGGGCGGAGGCGATCGCTCCCATCGCCTCCTCCCCTTCCAAAATCCTAGATCCGCCATTGGGGTGGGTGTTGGGGTTTCGACTACGAGAAGATACCTACCCACACCCATCCTTCCTATAAACAAAAAACTAATCACATTATCTATTTGTTTCAAACTATATTATCTTTTTTTAGTTTCAAAATCGCTGTCTACAAATTATTAATATTCAAATCTCTAGAATTTTGTCAGATAAATACAGTGATTTATCAAACAAGAAAAATATGAAATTATGATAAAAATTCTTTTTATATAAACTATGCAATGCTGATCGTATTATTTTATTTTATTTCAGATACATATATTAATCATCAAAATGATGTTATTATCATCATTAAAAGTTTGTTTATCATCAAGTATTCGAAACGAGTTGCTTCTATCACGTATTCGTCTAATGAATACTATAGCATCAAATTCTCAAACTGAAGAAGATAATAAAAGTCAAGTAAACACTGGAGTACTCTTACTTAATATGGGTGGACCAGAAACAGTTGATGATGTATTTGATTTTCTTAATCGTCTATTTTCTGATAAAGATCTTATCCCATTACCTGCACAAAAGTATATTTCTATATATTCAATATGATATATATAGTTTGTATTTTAGAACATTAGGTCCATGGATTGCTCGTCGTCGTACACCAAGTATTCAAGAACAATATGGTAAAATAGGTGGAGGATCACCAATTAAAATGTGGACAGAAAAACAAGGTGAAGGTATGGTTAAAATTCTCGATAAAATATCTCCATCAACAGGTAAAAAACATGACATGAGATTTTCTTGAAAAAATTATATGAATTTTATTTAGCTCCTCATAAATATTACATTGGTTTTCGTTATGTTAAACCATTAACTGAAATGGCTCTAGATGAAATTGAAAAGTATATTTCATTTTTAGTTTTATTTTTCTTTTACAAATATATAAATCTTTTCTAGAGATCATCCTAAACGTGTTATTGCTTTTACACAATATCCTCAATATAGTTGTTCAACAACGGGTAGTAGTTTAAATGCTATTGCAAGATATTATGTAGGAAGAGAAAAAAGTTTAAGATCAGAAAAAGCAAGTAAAATATCATATTTTGATGAACCAAAAGATACTCAAGTCAAAAAAGATATTGATTGGAGTGTTATTGATCGTTGGCAAACACATCCAGGCTTTATTCAAGTATGAAAAAATAATCATAAAAGAAAAGAATATATTGTTTTTTTTAGGCATTTGTTGAGAATATTCGAAATGAATTGAATAAATTCCCAGCACATGTTCGAAATGATGTAGTGATTTTATTTTCAGCTCATTCATTACCAATGAAAGTAAGTTAATGAAATAAACAATTCTATTTAATTGATTAATTAATTAGGTAGTCAATCGTGGTGATCCATATCCAGCTGAAGTTGCAGCAACTGTTCATGCAGTTATGACATCTTTAAATTTTTCAAATCCATACAGACTTGTTTGGCAATCAAAAGTACAGACTTTATTAAAAGAAATTTGATTCCTATCTCTATAATATTCATAATTTAGGTAGGACCTAGTGCATGGCTTGGCTGCCAAACTGATAATGCTATTACAGGTTTAGCTAAAAATAATCGACGTCATATTCTTTTAGTTCCTATTGCATTTACAAGTAAATTACAAATAATCTTTAATATAATAAAAATATAATTCTTCTTAGGTGATCATATTGAAACATTACATGAACTTGATATTGAATATAGTCAACATTTAGCTGCTAGTGTAAGAAAATTCTATTTATATTAATTTTAAATACTATCTTATATTGATATTTTGCAGGCAGGAGTAGAAATGATTCGTCGTTGTGCATCGTTAAACGATAGTCCAACATTTATTCAAGTAAGTCATTCTTCATATTAAAAGAAAACTTTATTTTGATTTATAAAATAATTTTGATTAGGCTATGGCTGATATTGTATCAAAACATTTACAAAGTCAACGTCGTCATACGACACAATTACCACTTCGTTGTCCCGGTTGTACAAATGTGTCGTGCGAACAAATGAGAAGATTTTTTTGTTCTCCTACATTAAAATCTTAATTATTTTATTTTATATGCAAAAAATAGAATAAAACGTAGATCTATTTCTAATGTTTTGAAATAAAAACAAAATCAAACATTTTTATCATCTAATTCATAAGTTTTTGGTGGGACTATAACATTTGTTTCTTTTCCGTAATGACCTTTTTTCCATGCAACATGATGAATTGATACAGATGCATATTTATTGATTGGTAATTTTACTAAATATAAATAATTAAATCCACCAACGACTTGTACAGAAAATTTCTCCGGTTTAGGATTGAATGTTTTCGATACATTATGAACTTCTTGAAGTTTTTTTAATATAATTTTTTTATACTAAAAAATAATATTAACAAAAAAAAGCGAATTTGTATTAAAATAAACTTACATCATCAAAGATTTTCTTATGTTTTGGTTGGATAGTTTTAGTCCAAGGTGTATGACCACCGAGAAGTGCTGGTTTCCTAAAATAAAGATCGACGATGGCATATATATAATAATTTAATCATACGCTATTTCAGTAGAGTTTTTCTGTACTTTGATTGTTGTTTTAGGTGTTTTCGTTGTAGTTTTCGCTGTAGTTTTAACAGTAGGAGCACCATTATTAAATTCAATAAAAAATATTATGATAATACAAAATAGAATAAGAAAAATCCTTGACGACATTATATCTATTGATTCTTATTTATGACATTCTATATAATGAGATGTTTATACATATATATATACTTTTTAAAGGTCATTATCCATATGGTGTAGTTATTTTTGTTTTTTAATTATCGATTATTTGTACCGAAGAAATATCGAAAGAAAATTGATATTTAACTTCAATTTTCAAAATACGCCATTTAAATGATTCATCAAAGATGTGATGAGTAATTACGTAAGTTTCAAGTTGGAATGAAATAGAAAAATGTTAGCTAAGATAAGTTTATAACAAAAAAAGGGCGTTTTATTTTTTCTTTCATGCTTAAAACATGATGGATATGACGTGAAAAATAAATAATGACTGCTAGATTCTTTTGCATTCTCATCTAAACAAATTTCTTTTTGTTCTTTCTTTCAACAAAATACCCAATGCATATTGGGTTTTTTCTACCTATATAATAGTGTGTTACATTCTACTGATCATAACAAGTAACAAGAAAACAACAACATTTATTGAAAGATCATCATTAATAACAAGATGTTACTGGTGGATTTATTGTCACAATCAAATACATTACAAACATTAACCACAAATGATAATAATAATGAATTATTTGAATCGATAGGTAATGATAATTTATATTCAATCTCTACGATTGAAATTCCACTAAAATCATCTCAGCCAATTTTAACAGTATCATCCAATAATATTTTCGTTAATGAACAAACAAAAAGAAAAAATCAATTCGTTCTTATTGATGATAATCTTAAGAAAACTTTCATTAAATCACCAATAAAGGAATCTATTATTGATAGTTTATGGTATGATAAGAAACAAAAATTACTTTTATTAACAGAAACAAAAATTTTTACTTACGATTCTAATACAAAGATTATACAAGCAATTATTGATATAAAACCAATGGATGGCAGGGTTTTCAAATGTTTTAGTATGTTTAATAATGAATGTTCATTATTAATTGCGTACGATGAATGGGGATTAAAATTTATTGAAAAATGGGACGTTAATGAAGATGAAAGTTGGGAATTAACGGAAAAATTTCCATTGAATTTAAGTTCAAATGAATTTGTTGGAAATATGCTAACAATTTATGATAATGATGACTTCAATTTAGCTATAACAATTTATAATGATTTTACTGAAGAATGGCGAATGGAATTACGACATTTAGAAACAGGAATATGTTTTAGAACTATTCTTCTTTCAAGATTCGATCGAGAAAATGATTATAGAATGATTTATATGGAAAATATGATATGAAATATTAAATGGTTAATCTATGCATCATCCAGTAAAAAGATTATAGCAATCGATTCAAAATGGCAAAAGACACCTTTTCAATATAAGTTTCCAATCTATAGAATGGAATTATTTCAAAACAACAGTTTTATTATACGAACAACAAAGAAAATTAATATTCATAGATTTACTTAGAATAACTGTATTTTGAGGTTTGAGGAATAAATTAAGTTTAAATTTGTTTTTTTGTAATTTTTATATATAAACAAGAGTAATGCATGATAATTAATAAATGAATGATTGATTAAAATATTTAACTGAATCTTAAAAGATAAAGTACAAAACAGAACTGTATATTTCAACGTTCAATGCAAGATAAATAAATGAATATGCTATAGATGATGCATATACAAATGCGATAAGAGCAAAAATAACATACATCTGATTACTGATCTTATAGATTTTTTTGGATGATGTAAATGTGAATCAACTATCAGATATGGAAGATCAGTAACACATTTTTTCAATCTGTTAAACTGTAAATATTAGACTATGTATACAACATTTCAGTCAAGATTTCCTTTAAAACATAAAATACATGATTTTTTAATTTTTCAAAATGAGTAATAGTTTGAGCCATAAAATCTCCACAACGTGATACTTTTTTACTGCACGGTAAACTCATTTTTATTCTTACAACAAAATTTGTTTGCTTAAACTATTACTCATTTCGAAAATAAAAATTTTCAGCAATAAAAAATAAATGGTCTTTTGCGAACTAAATGAGAGTGCGGGTGAGGATATGACAGTACAATATCCACACGAGAATACATACGTTTTATTTCTCATTAATCTCAATAAAAAAATTCTCTCATTCTTTTGTCTTTGATTCAGACATGTCTCAATGACTATCTTGTAAAAGATACGAAACGCATCGATAGATAACTCTGTATTTATCTTTAATTATTACTTATACTACGCACAACAGTTTATTATTCTATGAGTAATTTAACTATGACGAAAACGGTGGATTGCTGAAAAGCAAGAGTTGAGATTAGAAGACTGAGCCTGACTTTTTTGTTGAAACATATGTCGATCTGTTTTTCGGTTGTCTCACGCTTACACCCCTAAACAGATTCATTTACACGTTCGTATACAAATAAATTCCAGATGATCAAACAAAAAAGGCTTCAGATAAAATTTCGCATATCGTGGATTCAATCCAATAGAAAAGTTTTCATAAATGTACTTTTTACGTGAGATATTTGGTTAATAAAAAACAGACAATTACTTCACCGATCTTGAGAATTGTAAAGTCGCATAACGATTGATTCTACCTTTTTCTGTCAAATTATTCAATCAACCGTTGTTAATATTCTACTCCTTTCAAAAGAATTTAGCGACCGTTATATACATCTAATATAAATGCTGTTGCATGATTTTTTTTGGAAAAACGTTAATATGGCAAACAATACATGACGTCAAGGTATTAAGACAGTCCTCAGCTAATGGCCGTCACTGATACGAATGCCTCATAATGCAGTATTCTTATGAAATTATAAGAGTATAGAAAATTCTGATTTTTTAAAGATTCATCTGTCGAACAAATATGAATAAAAAGAAGATTATTTATTTTTTTTTAAATTCAGATGAAAAGTAGAAAAGACAATTACAAAGCACTGAACGAGATACAATAGGGTTGCTTTCGAATTAGGATAAAAAGTTTAACTAATGATTAATGATAATTCCATTGTAGATTTTTGTATAAAAGTAACCATTGTTTTATAATTTTAATGTGAAATGACATTGCATATTCAAATACCATTGTTTCGTACGTAAAAAAGTATGTAAGCGTTGCGGCTGATAACTTGATCTTCATTTTGCATTAACGTTACGGATGTATCATCGAAACGATACCATTTGTTTGTAAGATGATGTTTAGCATATGTGTAGTAGTGACCACCTGAAAGAGAGCCTTGATGAAGACAGACGGCGATCAGGTTGTATGAAGGTTTTTTATTTGAGCTGCAAGCAGTAAGCTCAAGTTTAAATGGATAGGAAACCATTGTGTTAATTTTTGAATTTGAATCAGAAGCATAATAGAAGCGTTTCAATTGCAAAATTAGTACGTGCGGAACACTTGAAAATTGATTGTATTTAAGTGCTAGACACACTTTTCCACACTTTGAACAATGCCATTCACTATTTTCTGAAAGTTTCTGTTCAACAAATAAATTCGCAATGCAGGATTCAATTGTTATTGTATTGGTGTTTGCTGTTTCAGGATTTAATCGATTGTGTGTTTGTCGAGTACGTTCGATCATTGTGTAACAATCAAGAGCAATAACAAAAGTCGTATTATACATGATTTTTGAATTGGATTCGAATAAGATTTCTTCGTTTTTCTGATTAAGATAGAAGATTTGATATATTGAACCAGGAAAGAGATTTGGTATGAGTGTATTAAATTGATGAACGATTCCTTTGTCGGTGCGTTCATTTTTAGAAACGCTTATGAAAATAGGATGGTAAAAGTATTCTTTTGATTGATTCTTATAACGAAGCAAACATTCGAAATATAATGTTTCACTAATATCGGGCATTTCGTAAAAAATGATAGAACGACCAGACAGGTTGCTGATAAAACGGTTCCGATGCAAAGAACCACTGATTCGATTTTCATTAGTGATTTCAAATGCTACGATTTGTGGATAATTATATTTCGTTTGTGGATTAAGTTTCACGAATCGATCAATTAAATGTCCAATCGTATCGTATTGTAGGAATGTGAATTGATGATTAATTCTTGTACCGTCCAAAGAGACGTAACAAAAGTCAAATGTATTTTCCTGTTCTTTCATTGGTTCAGCTATCGATAGGGCCAAATAGTTATAAGAATCCTGACTTTGATTAACCATCGAACATTCCAAACATTTAATATTCGATTGCATACGTCCATGAAAAAGTTCAGAAATAATTGATGATTGATTGTCACCACCACTTTTTAAATCTTCGTGTAAGACATCGAGTAGATACGTAAGAAATTCGTGAGCATCTTGTTGATGATAACCACGGAATCGTGTTGCATAATTGCTGATATATTTCTTCAGTTTATATGTCGTTGCGTCGTAGTTTTCTGTTGTCCACATGCACCTCAAGAGTTCACCAAATAATTGAGCTACATTTTCACGATTAACATTTGAATTATCATGATTAAGATGAGCTTTACATTTACAAGGCACGAAATATCGTTTCAAATCAACTATATTGCTCAGACATTGAATAATACTATTCATGAAACACGTATTGCCAATATTTTCCAGACCACATAAACCAAGATGATTATTTTGTATCAGTGCACTTGCTTGCGAAATGGACGATTGAGATATTTTTACATCGGTATTTGTTTCTATAGGATTTTTTGAAGGTTCAGCTAGTACCAATGGGATTTCCCACCAGAAAGCGCCATCGATGATAATGATTTGAGCGTCGATATTGTATGTAATTTTGATCTCTTCTCGACACTTGTCACAAATATTTGCCACTAAAATTTAGCATGTGCAAAAGTCAGTGAAAATATTTAACTATAAAAATGAGACTTACACATAGGCAATTTGCGATATTGCCGAAGCTTTCTCGAAGCATTTGGACCCATTTGTATAATGTTGCTTTGACGAAAGCAATGAGGATATTGACAAGAATTTCCTGGGTCATAATGAGTTCCATATTCAGCACGATGTTTAGCACATATGGATTTTAGTTGACGTGGAGGATTGAATCGAGATTCGATTAATTCAAATAGAGTGATTTTCTCTTCACCAACGTTAGTAAAATATGCCTTAAGCTCGGCAGCTGAATAGATCTCATCAACTCCATAGTCTGAACCACATGTATTCATACGATTGTCGAACAACGAGCAATTAGAATATTTAGGCATATGTGATAGTTTCATTGTTTTAATCTGAAATAAAAAAGAAAAGTACTTAAAAAAAATTTGGAAAATTCTCTATACAAAGTTTGTTTGATAAAATGTACAAAAAAATCATATTTATTGTTCATTTCTTAAATTAATATTGAATTTATCTCTGTTTGTACAGAAGAATATAAGCATTTTGATTAATTATATCTTGCTGTTGAAGAGTAACAGATGAATCATTAAAACAATACCATTGATCATTTCGCTCATGTTTGGCATATGTAAAGTAATGACCACCCGAAAGTGAACCAGTATGAAGGCAAACAGCAATTAGATCATAAATCATTTCTTGCAAATTTTGACCTTTAATGATAAACGGAGTAAGATTAAGCTCAAGTGGATATTGAACAAATTTGGTTATTTTTGTTGTTGATTGGGTACCGTAATTAAAACGTTTGATTTGCAGAATTAATACACGTGGTAAATCAAACAAATACATTTGTTTTTTGGATTGACGCTTTTTTCTACATTTAGAACAGAACCATTCGCTATTTGACGAAGCTATCTGTACGGCAGACAAATTAGTGAGGCATTGCTGGACGGTTAAAGGTTGTTCAGTAGGTATTGTCAGAGGCAGATATGTGAAAAGATCTTCCACTTGTTCCACATGACGTTTTTTGCTCACGCATGTTATTATTGAAATTGTTCGACCATAAAAAAGCTTCGATATTGGCGATGAATCATTAGTGTCATCCTTTAAATCTTCATGAAGAGCATCTAAAAGAAAATGCATAAATTCGTGTGCATCTTGTTGACTATATCCAGTGAATATTTCAGCAAAGTTGGCCACACTTGTTTTCAATCGTTTCGGTGTTATACTATTTTTATTTGATAACCACATATCAGACATGAGATCAGCATAATCTTGGGCGACTTGACCTTGTGTACCTAATGGATTTTTATGGTTTATCATTTGATGCCAATAATCGGATAAGAAGAAATTCTTTAGTTGAGATACATTACTCAGACATTGAATAGCACTGTTCATAAAACATGTATTACCAAGATTTTTAAGACCACAAAGACCATGACGATCTATTAATGTAAAAGAAAAGTCTTGTCTTTCTTACTTTCATAACGATCCTACCTTTCTGTTTTCTAAGATCATCTGGTACTGTCGAAGAACTATTCGGAATTTTTCTTTTTCGTCTCGTTTCATGTTCTACAGTGATTGTAACTTCATTATCAATATGACGTTTGATATTGGATGACGATGATTCAGTAATATCTAATTGTAAAGCATTTGAACCAGTTTTCAGTTGTTGAAAATTTTGATCTAGAATAACGAATTACTTATTGTTCAAGTTAATCAGTTCTTTTTATCCAGAATAGATCTCAGATTCGATGAAAACTATTCTTTAATATGCAAACTTTGGCATAAACCGACTGCAATGCTTGAACATCATAACAATTTATATATTAGCTATGGTTCTTACACATTTACTATATGATTTTTCATTGGTGAAATGTGAGATCAAGCTTTTCTAGTTTTAATTACATGCTTTAATCGTTTTTTAAACGAAGCTATTTGTAAAATTGTTCAGATTATTGTCATATAGTGGATTTTTTTGGAAGAAATTTCTCGATTTGTAGTTTTCAGGTATTTAATGACAAGTGAAATACTTGTTCTAATAAACAAATACATGGTCTTTCTATTTTCAATTTTGTTTGATCTTTTTCACGTCCTTTCGTTAAAGATTAAATCGAAATATTTTCTTAATTCTTACCCAACATGGCTGGTAAACACGGCAAACATTGAGTTCTTTCCAGATCAGACACAAACAATGCCACCCCAGAACGGCCACTACATCCATCACATAGGTACGGACAATAGAACCATCGAATAATTCTGTACACAAGTCGAACTAGATAAAGATAATATAATAAAGTTTTATTCCTACATTCATTTTAATTTTAAACTAACAATGAAGTACGTAAGAGTCGTCCGTTTTGATGAACAACTGACATGCTAACTAAATGATTTGATAACTGAATGACTTGGTGATGAACTGACTACTTAAAATAAGATGTTCTATACAGGATGAATCATATTCAGATCTAGATTTGTTCTCTGTGATACATATATTCGACGAAATTCATCTACGAAAAAAGTGAACTAATTCTTGAGTCATACTAACTGTATTTGTTGTTAATGGATTTGAGTGGTTTCTGAAACACTACGCGAAATATGTCAATCAACCATTTTGTAACCGATTTTCGAACATGACGAAATGACGAACATAACATTGCTGTTAGCATCTCAATGAACGCTCAGATGGCTTTATCTCAGCTTTTATAATGTTACTTGGATTCTGATATATACATTAGTCATGGAAATATCCAAAGAATTTATCTACTTGTTTCTTTCTTATTTGAATGATACGACACTTTAAAACAAAAAAAAGTATGCTTTGTTATGGAATATTCATTATAATATTCGATAAGGAACTATCCCATATACTTTTTTCTTTTCTATACATATATATATACTCTTTCTTTCGTTCTGTCGTATGCCCTAGATATGTTCTTTTCGTCTTTTTCTAGTGTATCTGTGTGTGACTGGAGTTATTGATTAAACTTATTACTTTAAAACAAAATATCTGGATATTTCCATAGATTATATTATGGGAAAATATCTGCGTTACATATACGAAATCTTAAACTGGGAGAAGACGAAAAGAATATATCTAGGGTATACGGCAGAACGAAAGAAAGAATATATACATATATATGTATAGAAGAGAAAAAAAAAGAAAACATAGGATAATTCCTTATTAAATATTATAAAGAATATTCTATAACATGCCCGCATGTATCATATGTTATCCATCGACCTGTGCAATGTATTACATGTTAACTTGGATTTTTCCAAAATTGTGTTTGGAAAAAATCGTGTTAATTCTAATGATATCGCTCAACTATATAAATGTAACTATAGTGTATTATCGGTTATATTTTCACAGATAAAATCAAGCAAACGGTCAAGCTCTTTTAAAAAAGTTAGTCAATCTTTTTAATTTATCATACTAAAATGGCATATATCAATGTTATCTTTGAAACACAAACTGGTCGCATGGTATCTGGAGTATTACCAGCTAATTTTGAACTACCTGATATGCTCAAGTTGATCCGAGACAAGTTGGATGATGAAAATGCTCATGAAGCAATGCGTTTTCTCTGCAAAAATAAACAATTGATGTTGAATGATGCTACAGGATTTGCTGCTCAGAAAAAACTAATCACCAACAATGTTACTATTCGTGTTGCCAAACGTATGATTGGCGGGTATCACTCGACTAATGAACTGATCCAAAAAATTGAGAACGAAGCCGGTATAGCAATCGAGAAACTCTCCAACCAGGCAAATACGAAGTGTCCTGTTTGCTTAACAGAACCGTGCATGGTATATAGTTTTAATTGTAATTTATGTACCAAAGTCAATCGAATGTGCAAAAAATGCTTTTTAAAAATATTTCACATGAATGATTTGACTTTTAAATGTCTCAGTTGTGTGAAAAGCGTCGACAACAAACATTTATTTATCTCAACACCCACCATTCTTCAGTCGATGAAAATGTTAGAAGATGTTCGAGAAATGAAACACAATATTGACTGTCAGATTTGTCAATGTGGAGAATTTCAAGTGAGTATATTAACTAACAGTATTTATACAATAACTTTTTCCATCAAAGATAAAAAAATTGTTTACGTATTCGTTGCTATTTAGGTCAACGATACTCTCTACAGCAAGCAATTTTGTGAAAAATGCAAACGTTCGTTCTGCTTTTTTTGTAATAAGACATGGAACAATACTACGATGAAAGATAATAAGTACACATGTCACGACAATTGTGAATATGAAAATCGAATCAGCTTTGAAATGGTCAACATCCATCCCTCTTATGCTACAGGACCAGTAAAATCTTTGCCAAATCGACGTTGTTGTCCTAAATGTTTCCAAGTCGGCGCTTATGGTAATAAATGTCAGATGCATACGTGCTTAAATTGCAATACGATCTTTTGCTTCATCTGTTTACGTGAACCAGCAGTTTGTACCAGCGACATACAACATTGCATGCCTGTCCGAATTCAAGACTATTCGATATTTCCAAAAAGTACAGATTCATGCTAAAAACTAGGATTATTCAACTATAATAAACTCAAATTTTTCAAATGATATTCTTGTAATTAATTGTGTACAGTTTGATTCAATAAAAAACTATAATATGAATTTCTTATTTTGATGAACTCTCAAAGAATTAAAGCTGCTCAAAGCAGAAAAGTTTTTCAAAAGTCGAACTTCGTTTAAATGAATGAACATATTTTCTTTTAGTTTTTATCGAATGAAACTATATGTACAAAAAACTAGTAACTGTTAAAATAAATCAAAAAATTATTAAGAAGTTAACATCATTAAATGAAATTACTGACAGTTTGAAATATATTTAATATCATTAAACGATTATATAGTAAATGATAAATGACGTATATACCATCATGATAAAAAGTTCTGAAACCTTAAAAAATGAATCTCACATATTCTTATATTTAGTTCGAGTAAAACGTAATGTATACATATAGCATACTTTCTTATTAAGTATGCAGTTTGATATTTCAACAACAAATATTCCTGTATTCTTCAATCATGAATTTACTATAAGTAACAAATCGATAAAAGTAACTTCTATTGAAGTATAGAACGAATCAAATTCTGTGTTAATCAATAATTTAAGTAATTAACATATATTTTTTTTCTTGTTCATTTAAAGTTATACAAAAACAAAACGTGGTAGACAAATAAATCAACGATAATTGTTAGGTTTTTGGTTTATACAAAAGAACAAATGATTGTTATAGACATGATAAAATATCTTTTTTCTTTGGTTCAAATAAGATCAAATATATGTGAAGAAAGAGAGAGAGAGAGAGAGAAAAAAGAAAGGAAATAATCGTTCGTTCATTCATTCGTTGATTTGGAAAAACATCGATATGAAAAACGAGAAAAGCATAGATCACATTGCACGCATCGATTATTTGTCATTCACAACAACTAAGAATTACAGTTTTACTGTTATTCTTTTTCATATTAATTTGCTTTATTTGTTGTTGAAGCTGGTATAATAAGTGTCGATGCAAGTGTAGGTGGTGTTGTTATCGATTGTTGTTGTTGTTGTTGTGGTTGCTGATTATTTGGTTCTTGCTCTTGTTGTTTTTTCAAACGTATTTGTGGAATATCGATATCAATCAATCGTAATAATCTTTCAACATATTGGCCATGTGCCTTGATAAAAAAATCAAAATATCCTACAAAAATCATATAAAATAAAACAAAACAATCCTACTTCAATATCATTATGACCAGCACCATCCAACCATAATGGATCTGTTTGATGTTGTACATGTACTCGATTATAAAGTGCAAAACCATGACTAACATCAATAACATCATCTTCTGTACCATGTATAATTAAAACAATCGAACGTATTCGATGAATTTTATCTATTGAAGGAAATGCATCACAGCACCATGTTCGTTTTGTTTCAGGAAATGCAACACGCATGCCTGATGTTAATGGACTATGTAATACACATGCTGCACAACAGTCATTAAAACGTGATGCTAAATCAATCGTTGGTACAGTACCTAATATTAAAACAAAAACGTTTATTGAAAAGAAAATTATTCCTTCTTACCTATACTTTGCCCATAGAGAATAATTTTCGCTTCGGGAATGTGATATCGTTGTTTAATTGAATTATATGTTGCTTCAATATCTGCATACATATTTTTTTCACTTGCTGTTCCTTGTGAAGCACCATAACCGGAATAATCATAACTAAATATATTACATTGTAAACGTGTACCCAAAACGATAAAAAAACTAGACATTTGACCTAAAAAAAAGCGAAAAAATATATTAAATTTTTAAATGAAAGAATATATATGTACCAAGATCAACAGCATTTCCATGACTAAATAGAATATAATATTTTGGATTCGGTGTACATTTAACATAAACACAAGCTATTTGATTGTGACGTGATGTTGTAACAAAATATGGTTCTAATTTAGTCATATCACTAGTTGAATGTTGCCATTCGGCTTTTTCAGAAAAAATCATTGTATATCGTAGAGATTTCGACGATGATGCTGCTGCTGCTGCTGTTGGATCATTAGTACTGTTAACAGGTGTAGGATTATCAGCTGATATTAAAGAATAAGTTGGTTCGGGTGGAAGAAAAGCTACAAAAAATATTTTATAAAGAAAGATTTGTTATTTTCCTTTTAATTCTTACCAAGTTTAGCAGCTATACGTGATGGTAAAGGTGGACAACAAAAAAGGCAACAAAGATCACGTATTGAAAGTGTATTCATCGTTCGATCATCTGAAAATAAGAGAAAATGATAGTATAGTTTGTCTTTTTCTCTCTCTCTCTCTTTATCTTTCTATCTAAATGATTGCTTATGATCATCGACTGATGTACAAGGAGTACTATCGAACGTATAGACAGATAAGCAAATGGTTGATGATGAATGAGAAATGGTTAGGTATTTGGTTGAATCTAATCAATAAGAATCAATCTTGGATATGAAACATGCAACAATACTCGATTTTTACATTGACACATAGAAAGAAAGAAAAAGAGAGGTAGGTAGGTTGTTTTTCATCTGTCTAGTTCACTATGACAGATGTCAGAAAAGATTTTTTTTTTTCTTGAATCATTCATTTATATGAACGAAAAGATTTAATGAAACGAACAAATGGATATGCTATTTTCTCTTAAGCTCAATTATTCACGCGTTCTGTCGTAATTATCTTTTCCTGTTCCGTGTGCGTGCTTGTTTTACTAACATATATTAGTAGTCAAAAGAAGAAAAAGAAAAGAAAAAACTTCTATTAAGAGTGAATCTATATATATAGATATGCGGCTAACTTTAGCTACTTGCTAAAAATTGATTACAGCTATAAAAAAGAGGAAACTAGACGCTTCCGCTTCATTTCCTTTCGTACTCTTATCATTATCGTTAGAGAAAAAAGCTGATGAGACAAACTTAGTCTGCTCTATTTTTCTATCCTCATGAGAAATACATCATCAATCAGTTTAATAAAAAAATCTTGTACTTTTTCTATTTGTGTCTTAAATTATAAATGATAGAAATTAAAGAAAATCAAAACATGAAAAATTTGTTTATAGACATATTCTTGGTGTCTCTTTTTTATGTTCAATTAAACAACCGATCATACAGGACAGAGAAAAAGAAAAGACACGCATAATCACATACATATAGATTATCATAAATTGTTATTATTTCAAAGAAAATAATCGGGTACAACACGTTTCGTTGCTGATGAACGTTGATCTTGTGGTGCTGCTTCAAATATTGTAAAACTTCGATTAAGATGTTCATCAAGTTCAAGTATAGCAGCAACATTTCCACAACGATAACAATAATTTGGTGCTGACCATACAGTTAATACTGTTTCATTAAAATGCCATTTATAACCTTCCATAACAAGTTGATGTGCTCGACAAATTAAATCAATATTATTTGTTTGATTAAATTGTGATACAACATCACTACCAAATAAAAAACCAGCACCACGTGGACTCACACCCCAACCAAGAGTTTCTTCTGGATCAGACCTATAAATATTTATGTAAATAAAAAAACAAAATGTTATTTTTTTTACCACAAAAGATCACACATGGGTCCATCATGTGGCACTTCCATTTTTCGATCAATTTGTCGAATTTGATCAAGAGTATGTATAGATGGACTTAGGCCACCATGTACACAAAATATTTTACCATCAATAACAGCTGATAAACTTAAATAATCAAATACTTCCGTACAATATCGCCATACCATTATCGAACCATATTTTCTTAAACATTCATCATAAAAACCATAGACTTGTGTAATCTGACGGGATTCATGATTGCCACGTATTAAAGTTATACGATCAGGATATCGTACTTTAAGTGCAAGTAATAATAGAAATGTTTCAACACTATAGAAACCACGATCAACAAAATCACCCAAAAATAAATAATTCGTTTGTGGAACATCACCTAAAAGACAAAATCAATATCTCGAAATTCTACAATAGATATTTACATTTTTCTCTCTTATGTCAACTTCATCGACTTCCTGGGTGGGTAAATTATTTCGAAGAGAAGACGAAGAAAAAACAATTTGTTTTTGACAACTTTTTTCTATTGGTTAGAACTGTTATGTTTTGCTATATAAAAGATACGAAACTAATTTCATATTAATTAATTATACTTGTGTCATAGATGTCCTTTTGGAAGTCATAAAAACACGATCTTATATAGAAACTTTTATTAATTAGAAAAAAACAAATTAACGAATACTAACGCCTGTTTCATATATCACATAACTATAAATTTCATCTGTCAATAATCATAATGTTAAAGAAAACATCTGTTAAAACTGAGTAAAACCATACAAAGTTTCTTTTATATGTTTTCCATGTTGTTAGAAATTGATCAGCTGTATCTCAATTTTTCAAAAAAAAAAACTTTTTTTTTATTGTTTACCTCCAACTCGGAATAACTCCAATAGATCAAACATTTGTCCATGTATATCACCACAAATAGTAACCGGTGAATCAACACATTGAACATTACTTTCTTCTACAAGTATTTCTCTTGCTTTTGTACAGAGCATTTTAACTTCATTTTCTTTAATTAATTCACATCGTCGTAATTGTTCTAATTGTCGATCAAGATCTGAGAGGTCGGACATTATTATTAGTGTTATTATTATTATTATTGTGGAAAAAGAAACGAAGAAAATAAAATAATAATAATATCAATCTAAAATAAAAAGACATTTTGTCGATTACATCAAGACAATATTCTTCTTATTTTTGGTTTTGATTTTTAAACAATAAAATACAACATTAATATAATGATAATATTGACCAATTGAGCAAAGGCACGAAAAAAAGAAAAAGAAAATGATTTTTATGCAATAGCTGACAACATTTAACGAGAAGAAAAAGAAAATAAAAATCTATTTGTACAAATTAGTATGAAAAGTATATTGGGAATTTAAAATGGACTGAAATATTCTCGTATTTTATTCATTCATTCATTAAAGGTTCAGGAAATTCAACAGGTGTTGAATAACTAGTATGATCTTTATTAATTGTTACATGACTAGTTGTTGTAATTGCACCATTTGGTGGCATTGGTTGATCTTGTAATATAACTTGTACAACGAAATTATGTTGTAAACGAGTTTCACATATAGCTGTTCGATCTCCTGAAATAAAGATAAAAATTTATACTCACCTTTTATTTTTTTCTAGTGACATTGTAGCTGATAATTAAGAAAAGTATATATAATCTTGACACTCCTAAGCTATATGTCACGATTATAGTGATTAAAAACTTTTTGTTATACAACATTCTTTTGAATACCTTCGACATCTACAAGGATGTCTAACATACCTTAAATGATCGGTATAGTTGAACTTTTCCTTTGTCATAGTGAAACTTATAGAATTATTAGTAAACATTTACTTACGTAATAGTTTTCCTCCAAAAAATAAACGTTGAGTTTGTGAATCAATAGCTCCATTTTCTAACATAGCCAAACGTCTTTTAATATTACGAATTTTTTCATTTGATTTACAATATAATCGATGTTCTTTACCATTTGATAAACGAAATTTAATCGGAATTTCAATATCTTGATCACTATTTGCTTGTTGTTGATTGATTAATACTGGTGGTGTTGGTGTATTTGTTGATGATGATTCATTACCACTTGAATCTACATGTGATTTTTGTTTTCGACGATGTTTTTTTATTTCACGTACTATTGGATTATGACCTCCGCCTCCTGTTGGTGATTTTGAGGTTGTACGTTGTTGACTTAATGTTGATATACTTTGATTATCTCGTAAATCTCGTTCACGATCAGCAATAGCTGTTGCTGCAAGATCAATATCACTTGTACCGGATTCATTATCATTAACTGATGATTGTTCAATATCAGCTAAATTTGTTGGTGCTGATAGAATATATACAGGTATTTGATAACGTGTTCCAAGTTCATCATAACAATCAAGAAGTGTTCCATGAGGAAGTGATATATTAGCACAATTTATAACTAGAAATAGAAAACAAAGGTTCTTTTAAAGACAAAACAATTCCAAGAAAAATTTTACTTGATTGAGCTAAATCAATATCATTCTGTTCAACTGCATAACATGCACCTCGAAGAGCATCCCAAATTTCTTTACGACCTTCGAATGCAGGTGCTAAAAGAAAACAAAATGAATAATTTTGAATGTACCTAGAATTGTATTTACTTTCGTACACCACATCATATAGAATATGAAATTTATATAATTAAATTCCCTTGTGAAATAAAGATTTTCGACATATTCTGATTAATAAACTAGCTGACAATATATGTCAAATTTTTATTTTTGACAATTGTATAATTAATCATATGTCGAGAAATGAAAAAGTTTGTCAAATGTTTTCTATGAAATATGATTTATTGTCTATCTCAAATTGAACTTACATATATCAAGGCGTAATTTATAATCTACGAATTATTTTCTCTACTGAAATGAGTTCTTATTTTCAATACAGATAATAATGTCATGTGTTATAGAGATAAGAACTATCTTTATTTTCATTGTGAATCTTACCCGTATCCCAGTATTCTTCTCGTTTTCGACGTAATTGACTTTCAGTAATTGGTACATCTGATTTCCATTTTGGACGACAAACTGAACGATTCAATGGTTTATTTCGAGCAACAGTTCCGCTTGCTAGATCAAGTAAAAAGAGAATATTTTGCAAAGAAAAAAAATAAGCAATAATATAAAATAATTACTTGTCGCACTACTTCGAGATGAATGTGATCGTCGTCGATGATTGTCACGATCGTGGCTGACACATCCACCCATTTGTTTAAAAATAACAATAAAATCGAATAAATATCGATGTGTACAGATTCTATTTATTATTATTTGATAATTAAGCTTATAAATATTTTTCTCACAAATAATTTAACATTTTTTTCTAAAAAGTGTGAACAAATATCACACTAAATTAACTAATAATAATATAAAGATAAAATCTAAATTTATTTTAAAAGAAAGAGAGAGTTGTTGTTTATCTTGTTTTAAATCATTTATTCATTCCATTACCATATGACAGTTACCATATCTGTTCGAATATAGCCTCAACAATAAAAGCAAATACTATCGATAGATGTCACTAATAAAAGATAATAGATATTCTTTAACTATTATTTTTCGGTAAAAATAATAAATTATGATAGATCAATAATGAATTACATTCTAAAAAAAAACTTTCGAATTAAATATAAAATTTCGAGATTTGATCAGTTTTTGATAGTTCTGTTTGATTTTATCAATGGATTCATTACAATATTAAAACTGACTGCAAATTATGCTTTACAGTCAATGTTCTCAGACGGTAATAAAAAGTATCATACTATGAATGAGCAATCTGATGATAAACATTTTTGTTGATCTTAACAACAAAACATATGAATTTGCAGTAATATTTATTTCATTAATGTAGAATGAAGATGTCAATTGAATAGAGCAATGAGTCTCAAAACAAGAATGATTGAGAGACAATATGATGTACAATTTTGTTTGTTTGAGATTAACGAGAGAGCACAAAAAATTTATTATAACATCTAGGTCTGTCAATTAATTAACTGTTCTAATAGAGTGAAAAACGCAGAACATGAGTTGTGATCTAGTAAATCACATTAAATATATACAAGTACTGCAACAAGTACATTTTAATGTATTTATAGTTATTTCAGATCTCCACTATGTGACGTGCTTTCTTTTTCTAAACATTTGTAGTACTTATTCTGAATGGATTAATCTATCAAAAGATGATCATACTCATGCTGTTATTCAAGGTGTGATATCAAAGAGACAGTAAGTGAATTATATCAATTGCACGGTAATATTGATATTTATAGTCACGTCTAGTATAACGTTCAAACTCAGAGTGTAAATGTATGTGAATATAATCGATGTGTATTTAGTTAATTTATAATGAATATAAGAAAGAAAATTGTGAATGTTTACTACTTGATCGTGTATGCCAGAGATGTATACTGCACGGAAGACGATCATAAAAATATTTTTTTTAAAGATGGTAGAAAACTAGTTTACAAAAATATCTTGAAGATGTGGGTATCGCTTCAAGAGTAGATCAGACACTCATACCCACACTTTATCATACTGACATAAAAACAAAAACTATGAATCAGCTCCCGATCTTTCATTGTTTCGTTCCATAAAAGTTTCGTAGGTTGGAGGTAATAGAGACTGTTGCTGCATTACAATTATTATTCCACTTTCTTCTATCACGCTATCATATGCTGGTGGCAAATCTGAAGTTGTTGTTCTTTTAACATTAGAATTATTATTTTGTGATGGTTGCATTTCTATTGAAACTGTTGAATTTCTTAGTGGTGTGTCTCTGATCAAAATTTGCGGTTGTATAGTTGGTAAGTTATGATGCTCTATATTGGACCGTCTTATTGTCGACTGCATTGTTGATATATCCTCTTCAGTGTCATCTTCATCATAACATATTTCAGCTTTTATTACAGCAATAACCATTGCAAAAACAATAATTATAAGCGGAACTAGAAAAAATCCACCTCCACTAGATTTAGAAACTCTGCGAGTCCTATAAGTAGATGTTGGAGCTAGAAAAGAAAGAAATAATAGTAAATTGAAATGCAAATATGTACAGACCATTTTATTATTTAGCTAACGAAAGCGCCACGATGTCCTCAAGTTACTACACCTCCAAGTACCTATAGATTACATTTAGTATTAAAACGTTTTAATGGAAGAATGTAACGAAAAAGAGATATTAGTTACAGGAAATGAAATTTTTTTGAAATTCAAGTATAACGAAATTTCTAGATTCCATATTCATAGGAGATGGAATCTAAATGAAGCATGACATCAATTCATTGACATTTGACGTCCACTAAAAAATACAGCTATTGCAGGACATCCCGATACATTAAAGGAAAAGGTACAAATCGTCTTTAGAAAAGAAATAATTTACATTTTATTTTCTCATCGGAAAAGATCTATTGTTTATTGTAGATATTGAATTGGAAACATATTTCAGGACAAAGAGCGATATCATCCAAGATATATGATAATACATGGCATGAGTTCTATGAAAGATTTCATTGAGAAGTTAAACTACTAATTCTTATCGTACTTTTTCTGTTAGTTGTTACTCAAACATCTTGTAAAGTTAATTCAAAGCTCATCGCAATTCTCTTAACTGAGAATAAAGTAGAAATGGTATGATACATTATTTAGTCTGTACATATTTAAAAATGAATAAAACTCTATTTCGTTATTGTCATTCATCCTAAATGTGTTTTAGTAAATCATTGTAGTTCTTCTACTAATTTATTATTGAACAAACAAAGTAATTCAAAACTTCCCATTTCATAATTGTTTAAAACAAAATAAAAAACAAAAGTAATATAGTTCGCTGTAAAATGATCAGAGCTGGTTCGAGCATGTTACATGTATTGGATCTAGGCTTATGAGATTATCTACAAGATTGCAACAGAGATGTGTCGAAAGAGCTAGTCATCAACACATATACGGAAAAGAAAAGAAGTTCCTAATTGCGAAACGACTATCACATACAAATATCAAAGAAATTTCTTTGAAATACTAAGAGTGTCGTTAAGATACGAATCTGAGAGACTTAGTTAATTGCGGCTGGATCACAAATCATGTATCCGACGGACTCTAATTAATACTACTATTGATTATGAATAACGATTAATACTCCGTTTCCAAGTATGATAGAATCTACTTAGGAAATATCACCTCCAATGTACTCACACGAATACGTTTCGAACCATTTTGGTGCTAAATATTTATCGTAACTACTTCGAGTCGATTTTGTATCGAAATGAGGAGACATGGTGAAGCTACAATTATAATTTGTAAAAACTTCTAGAGTTGTTGTTTGAGTTCTAGACCACCGATCTGGAAGAATAAATTCTGAATCGTACACTGATCTTCTTTCTCTAATAGAGACACGATTAGTTGTATGTAACATTGTTCGTCGATTTTCCTTCATCAACATTTTTTTATGAAAATCCTTTGAATTAAAATTACTGGATTGAACGAGTAGCAATTGAACAGTAAGGAAGATTAAGCTTGCATAATGAGTCATTATCAATAAGTTTTATATAAACATGAAATGAAACACAAACTATGCAGTCTAATGATAGAAATACTGCTAGTAAAATAAACAAAAGGTTATCAAAAATAGAAACATTCTGTTATCATAATTCACTTTTATCGTTGTGTAAATGATTTTTGTATTCTTTTATTCTCATATGGCACAATCTTAAGAAGAAACAACAATCATCGATGTTTTTTCTATTGAAACATTGTACAAAAACATCACAACAAAATAGTGACTTTCGCGACGAGAAAAGTAGTTAGATATCGATGATGCCGCCTATAAAACAGAGTGCTATAGTGCCCACGACTTTTTATTCTTCTCATAATTACGCCTCTGCATGTGCATATATGGATTAGGGAGAAGAGAAAATAAGGACGTGGATGAATTTATAGGAAAACAAAACAAGAGGACATAGAATATATAGAAGGGAAAGAACAGTCGATGAGTAGATACTAATGGAAGAAATTGTATTGATTCTGCCATAGTCACATTAGTATACATCTGATATAGTGTAAAGAAAAACGACAAATATTGTTCTTCTTTCTATCTCCATAATGAATACCTCTCCTTTTCATACACATTATACTATATTCTAATCCACTATAAGCATGCATGAAAATATGATCGAAACAGTTTTCTATTGGTTATCATCTACTCAGTTTGTAGCTCGAAAGTGAATAAAAATTACGATCGAGAAAAGGTACATTGAATCGTATTTATTGATTCCGTTTAATCAAACGGAAGGCATCATATAAGTGTTGCAAACTATATTTTGTTCACAACTTCCAACATATCCCATTCTTGTTACTTATCAAGTCATACAAACGACTGTGCCTAATTAAATAGTTCTAATATGATTTATATCTTCATTGATGGATTACTCTCTAAAACCGATCTTGTTCTAATTAAAGAGTTTTTGGATAAATAACTTTATCTTCATTAGATTTTGTTGAAAACTATCAACGTTAGCGTTAGCATCTACAAATTCATATCTTTCTCTACTGTTTGAAATTCATGATTATAACTACGTATAAGAGACACTTTATTTCCAAGAAAAGAAATCTCTGAAGGTTACATTAAAAAACAAGTGACGCTCACCGCTACACTATGGACTGAACAGGTAAAGATATGAATATTTAAAATTTTATTTAGTTGAAAGATGTGATTGTGAATGGGGGGTGGAATAAAGCGATATGGACATCTATATCTACAATAATTTGTACCCACACTCTCTAATGAGATTGTGCATGTCTCTCCTTCACCCATTCAATACCCACCCATATCTTATACATATTAACTATATAAAAAGTTCAATATTGAAGTGTTCAATCAATCGAATTTTAATGAATGTTTCTTTGAAGCTGTTTGTTTATAAATAAAAAGTTTTGGGATAACATCGTGACATAAAAACAAAAACTACGAGTCAGTTTCCTCTCTTTCATTGTTTCGTTGCATAAAAATTCCGTAGGTTGGAGGTAGTAAAGACTGTTGCTGGATTATAATCATTACTCCACTTTCTTCTACCACGCTATCATGTGTTGGTAGCAAAATTTGAAGTTTGTTGTTGAACTAAAGTTGTTGCTCTTTCAACATTAGAATTATTATTTTGTGATGGTTGCATTTCTATTGAAACTGTTGAATTTCTTAGTGGTGTGTCTCTGATCAAACTTTGTGGTTGTATAGGTGGTAAATTATGATAGTATGCATCGAACGGTCTTCTTCTCGGCTGCGGTGTACTTAAACTCCCTTCCGTGCCACATTTACAATCGGGCCAACTACATAGCGATACACAAATAATGAACGAAGAACAAAGAAGAAATATTAAAACGAATTTTATTATTTCGTCATCAAATAATTTATGATATACACGTTTAATCTTATTGGAAGATGTTGGATCTACAAAAGAAAGTAATAATAGTGAATTGAAATGTAAAAGTGTATAGAACATCCTATTATTTAACTAACAGAAGCGGCAATATGAACTCAAACGACTACATCTCCAAGTACCTATAGACTACATTTAATACTAAAACGTCTAAATGGACCAATCCAATGAAAAAGAGGTATCAAATTACATTAGACGATAATAATTCATCACTAAAACGATATTATTCAAATTCAAGTATAACGAAATTTTCTGATTGTATATTCATAGGAGATGAAATCTAAATGAAGCATGCCATCAATTCATTGACATTTGACGTCATCTACAAAATACATCTATTGCAGGACATCCCAATACATTAAAGGAAAAGGTATAAATTGTTTTCAGAAAAGAAATAATTTACATTATATTTTCTCATCGAAAAAGATCTATTGTTTATTATTGATAGTGAGTTGGAAACATATTTCAAAAATAGTTATCTGTCCATTCAGCTGTGAACAAAGTGAGATATCATCCAAGATATATGATAAAAGATGACATGAATTATATGAAAGATTTCACTGGTTCGAACATCTTAGATGTATTAGACTTAGGTTTATGAGATTATCTATAAGATTACAACAGAGATGTACCGAATGTGCTAGTCACCGACGCAAATAAGCAAAATAAAAGAGGTTTGTAATTGTGAAGCGACTATCACATACAAATATAAAAGAAATTTCTTTGAAATACTAAGAGTGTCGTTAAGATACGGATCTGAGAAAGTTTTAGTCAATCACGGCTGGATCACAAACTTTGGATCCTACAGACTCTAATTAATACTACTATTGATTATGAATAACGATTGATACTCATTTGCAAGGTGTGATAGAATCTACTTAGCAAATATGACCTTCGTTGTACTCACAATATTTTTTGTTCCATGTTTGTTCGAAATCATATTCTTCGTAACTACGTCGAACTAATTTCATATAAAAATTAGGAGACTTGCGGAAGTTATCATTATGATTTGTAAAAATTCTCGGAGTAGTTGTTTGAGTTCTAGTCCGCCATTTTCTAAGATGAGCATCTGGATAGAACACCGATGTTCTTTCTTTAATAGAAACATGATTATCTGTATGTAATGTGGTTTGTGGACTTCTCTTTGGCAATATTATTTTATGAAAATCGTTTGAATCAGAATTAGAGAATTGAACGAGTAGTAATTGAACAAGGTAGAAGATTAAGCTTGCATAATGCGTCATATCAATGAATTTTGTGTAATCATGAAATGAAATACAAACTATGCAGTTTAATGATAGAAATACTGTTAGTTGAATAAAAAAGTATATCAAGAATAGAAACATTATCTTATCACTCTTTTTTGTTCTTTATTCCTCTTCGTTTATAAAACAAGAATCACTCTTCTCTCCACAATATTCACTCCTCAAATATTCAACGATATCAGTAGTACACGTGAGAAAATGAAGAGAATCAGCATTCTTTATGGCATGTGATATATCATGCCATAACACATTGTTTCATCATAATTCACTTTTATCGTTCTGCAAATCATTTTTCCGTTCTGTTGTTCTCATATACCTATCTTAAGAAGTAGAGAAAGATAATTGAATAAATAAGTTGTCTACAACACATTATATAAATGCTGCAAACTATATTTTGATCACAATTTCTTACACATCTTATTCTTTTTGCTTATCAAGTCATACAAATGACTGTGCCTATTTGAACAGTTCTAATATGATTTATATCTTCATTAATTGATACTCTATCGCCGTTATCTTAGGTATCTAGAAACTCATATTTTTCTCTACTGTTTGAAATTCATGATTATAACTACGTATAAGAGACAGCTTATTTCCAAGAAAAGAAATTTTTCACAGTTGCATTCGAAAAGAAGTAACGCTCGTTGCTACATCCGCGACTGAATATTGAAAACTATTGCTATATAAAATTTTATCTGGTTGAAGGATGTGATTGCAGATGGATGTGGAATAAAGCGATATGGATATCTAAAGCTACAATAATTTACACCCACCCTCAAGTTCAATATTAAAGTATCCAGTCAATGAAATTCAAATGAATGTTTCTTTGAAGCTGTTTGTTTATAATTAAAAATTGTGGGATAACATAGTGACATAAAAACAAAAACTACGAGTCAGTTTCCTCTCTTTCATTGTTTCGTTCCATAAAAGTTTCGTAGGTTGGAGGTAGTAAAGACTGTTGCTGGATTATAATCATTACTCCACTTTCTTCTACCACACTATCATATGTTGGTGGTAAATCTGAAGTTTGTTGTTGAACTAAAGTTGTTGTTCTTTCAACACTAGTATTATTATTTTCAGTTGTTCGCGGTTCTAAACGTGGTAAACTACGACGCACTGTTTCGAACGATGTTCTTCTTAGCTGCATTGGAATTACAATCGCTTCGGTGTTACCGTCACCATCGGATTTTTCGCATTGTTTTAGACAAATAAGGTATAACGCAACAAGAAGAAAAACTATTAACGAGAATATGAATATTTGTACTTCACGTGCATGGAATAATTCACGATGTCTAACAGCAGTCGTTTTGGAAGATGCTGGATCTACAAAAGAAAGTAATAATAGTGAATTGAAATGTAAAAATGTACACAACATTCTATTATTGAAGTAACAGAAGCGACACGATGTCCTCAAATTACTACGCCTCCAAGTATCCATAGACTATATCTTAATATTAAAACGTCTAAATCGAAGAATCCAATGAAAAAGAGGTACCAAATTACATTAGACGATAATAATTCATCACTAAAAAGACATTATTTAAATTCAAGTATAACGAAATTTTCTGATTGTATATTCATATGAGATGAAATCTAAGTGAAGCATGTCATCAATTCATTGACGTCTGATGCCACTTACACAATACACCTATTTCAGGACATCCCGATACATTAAAGGAAAAGGTGTATATCGTTTTTAGAAAAGAAATTATTGATATTTTATTTTCTCATCAGGAAAAGTCTAGTTTATTGTTCACAATGAATATGAAACATATTTCAGAAAATATTTAACTGTCCATTCAGCTGTGAACAAAGTGAGATGCCATGAATTTTATGAAGGATTTCATTAGTTCAAACATCTTAGGTATATTAGACCTAGGTTTATGAGATTATCTACAAGATTGCAACAGAGATGTGCTGAAAGTGCTAGTCACCAACACATATACGCAAAAGAAAAGAAGTTCGTAGTCGGGAAACAACTATCTCATATAAATATTACAGAAATTTCTTTGCAATACTAAGACTATCGTTAAGATACGGATCTGTAAGACTTTTAGTCAATCGCGGCTGGATCGCAAATCATGAATCCAACGGACTCTAATTAATACTACTATTGATTATGAATAACGATTGATACTGAATTGCTCCGTGATAGAATCTACTTAGCAAATATGACCTTCGTTGTACTCACAATATTTTTTGTTCCGTGTTTGTTCAAAATCATATTCTTCGTAACTACGTCGAACTAATTTCATATAAAAATTAGGTGATTTACGGAAGTTATAATTATGATTTGTAACAATTCCCGGAGTTGATGTTCGAGTTTTAGACCACCGGTTTGCAAGAACAAATTGTGAATCGTACACTGATCTTCTTTCTTTAATAGAAACATGATCATTTGTACATAATGTTGTTCGTTGATTTCTCTTCGTCAACATTTTTTTGTGAAAATCGTTTGAATCAGGATTATTGGATTGAACGAGTAGTAATTGAACAATAAGGAACATTAAGCGTGAATAATACGTCATTATCAATGAGTTTTGTGTAAGTATGAAATAAAATATAAAGTATGGAGATCAATTATAGAAATACTGGTACTTGAATAAAGAAAAGGTATTAAAAATAGAAACATTCTGTCATCATAATTCACTTTTATCGTTGTGTAAATGATTTTTGCATTCTTTTATTCTCATATGCCATAATCTTAAAAAGAGAAAAGCTAATCATAGATGCTTCTACTATAGAAACATGTACACAAATAGCAGGACAGGATAGTGACTTTTACGACGAGAAAAGTCATATGTAGAGAGTAAGCAAAGATTATTTTTTTATTTTGCTGTAATGGGAAATCATATCAATGTAATTAGAAATGAGTTATCTTTATTTCACTTTGAATCTTCTCCGTTTTATTAACATAAGCGCATATGGGAGAGAGAATTATATATGTCAGGAAGTAAGTGAATTGACCTACAGAGCAAGATATCGGTATTTATGATACTTTCTAAAAACAGAGCGCCCACGACTCTGTATTCTCTCTTATATACACACTCCTGCATATGCATATATGGATTGTAGAAAAGAACAAATGAGGAGGTGGATGAATTTATAGGAAAAGAAAATAAGAAAAAATACGATACATAGTTGGTTAATAGAATGTATAGAAAGTAAATGGCAGGTGATGAGAAGATACGACTAGAAGAAATACCGGTTGATGCTGGAAATTTTGCTGGTTCTATCATAGTCACATTAATATATATATGATAGGGTGTAAAGGAAAAAGCCAAATATTGTTTTGGGTTGTCTTCATGATGAATATCTTTCCTTCTCATACACATTATTCTGCATTCTTGTCCATTATAAATATAGATGAAAACATAATCAAAACAATTTTCTATCGTTTATGATCTACTCAGTTTGTAGCACGAAAATGAATAAAAATTATGATCGAGAAAAGATATATTCAATCGCATTCGTTGGTTCCGTTCAATCAAACGAGAGACAATCGAATAAATAAGTTGTCTAGAAAACATCATATAAATATTACAAACTATATTTTGTTCACAACTTCTTACACATCTTATTCTTTTTGCTTATGAATTCATATAAATGACTGTATCTACTTAAATAATTCTAATATAATTTATATCTTCATTAATTGATTACTCTTTAAAACTGATCTATATTTAATTACAGAGTTTTTTATAGATGAATCACTTTATCTTCCTTAGATTTTGTTGAAAACTGTTAACGTTAACTAAGGTAGCTGCAATCTCATATGTTTCTTTATTGTTTGAAATACATGATTATAACAACGTGTAAGAGACACTTTATTTACAAGACAAGAAATTTTTCAAGCTTACATTAAAACAAAAGTAACGCTCGTCGCTACACCTTCGACTGAATAGTGAAAGCTATTGATATATAAAATTATATCTGGTTGAGGAGTGTGATTATGGATGGCTGTGGATTAAAGCGATATCAACATCTACGTCTACATCTACAATCATTTACATCCACACCCTCTCTATCCTTATTGAAACCGATTACCAGCCACTTTCGAACATGTATAGTATAGTAAATATTTCGTAATATGTTCAATTAACACTCTACGTACTATCGTCTGATGGTTAATTATCGATCCTGTTCAATTAACTATATTGATTTTCATGCGTCTGCTCATCTTTTCTGGTTAGTATGTTCAGCACTAATTAGGAGGACGAAGATATTATGCCCATTGGTCATGATACAACCTCTCCCTCTATATTATATTTATTTTATTCTCATTCACACTCTCCTCATATTGCTTCCTCCGCACACCTCCTCCACCTTCTACATTCCATTTTTTCCTTCATACACTTTTTTTTCCGCCTCTTTAGATTGAGAAAGTATATATAATTGTTGTTTTGTCTTGCTTGGATGTGTTTTCCATTTTTGTTTGTTGTCATCTGGTTGATATATAAGAAGTCAGTGCATTTTCTTTTTTTCTTCATCGCCGGAGACGAGTTTCTTTTTCCAGTTAATGATATTTATGTGAGATATGCAAGTAAGATAATAACTATAATAATATAATTGCTCTTGTTTAGAAATTAGATAAATTAGAATCGTGATAAATATAGAGTATCTAACTGTAGACATTTTACATTATCTTCCTGATTAGTTAAAATATCGATTTTTAGTTTTAGAATAGTCTGATTTCTATTTGTTTAAATTAAAGTAACGTTTCGTCGTAGTTTACAAATTTATCAAACAAAAATATACATTCTTTTATTAGTAATATGGAACAAGACCACAATAGAAATAGTATAGATTTATGAGTTAATTCAATATTACTATTTAAAAAAATGAAGAGAATAAAACGGAGTAGTCTATTATTTTAATCTTTATAATGTTAAAAATTTGTCAATAATTGAGAATGTTTTCCACTGTAATAAATAAAAAAATATATAATTATTATTTTGTAGACAAAAGAGATTTAATAACACAAATTATAAAACATAAATCATGAAAATTACGTTTTCTATAACAACTTGACATAGTTTTCTTCTTTCTTTGATCACTTAATAGAGACATGACAAAGCAGCGTGTTGTACGCTTCGTTGCATTTGTACTTTTTCTGACTTGCTATATAGATAAAATTCTTAGAAAACGTTTTGATAATAAAGATATTATTTTCATTTCCTTACGATGTTTTATTGTTCTTTAATTAGTAAATGATCATGCAAACGTCTGTTTGTAATACTAATGTGTATCTCAAGACAAGACTAGTAAGTATGTTTTGAATAGCTTACAATAGCGATAAAATATGAATACTTTCTAAAAGTCAGATTTTCTATTTAATGAATGGATTGAAATTTTATAAAACTATCCATAATTGAATTATTTAGTTTTATTCATTCAGAACCTATACGTAGTGTATTCATTTCTGAACTGAATACAATACATAGAATTTATTATATCTGTCGCCGAGATTCTAAATTGATTTTTATAGTTAAATTAACAGAGATGCTAAGTTGGAGGTAATTTATCATTGTATTATTTATAATTTTAGATTGTACATATTTAAATTGATACTTAATTCATTATCATGACATCTGGTAATCAAAATGCCGTTGAGGAATTGATTACTTGTGCGATTTGCCAAGAAATATTCAATGATCCTCGTGTATTACCATGTTCACATACATATTGTCATAAATGTATAGAACAAATAGCTTCAGCTAATAATGATCAATTTGAATGTCCACTTCGTGATGGATTTATTCTATCTAAAAATGAGATTGATACATTGCCAGTAAATAGAATTGCACGTGATATGATCGAAATATATGGTAAATATATTGTTTGTTGATAGTAATTGTTTGAATGAGTGTCAATACCTGTGACAAAAATGAGAATGAGTAGGAAGAACAAATACTGAATCTTGAAAATTGTTTTTGTGAATTTTCAGACACTCGTATTTAAATATATATCTTTTCTTCTATTTTATAACAAATCATTATTTTTCCTCTAATTCCTTTTTTCTATTAATTGAAACAGACGGCTGATTCTGGATCTCTAAGAATGGAATCTTCGTCTGATCTACTTACCTACCCTGTAAAAAAAGCTCAGTTTAATACAAAAGCTTTTCCCATCTTATAGATCTAAAAACATCAGATTTCATAATTACTACGAAATTGTAGAAAAGTTTGATATCAAACTGATCTTCTCCCAGAACATATCTGTACTTATATTCTCATCTCTATTTATTATCTATTCAAGGTTCAATTCGAAAGTCAACTCAATGTTCCAATTGTCATACTGTTATGGGTGAATATGGATGTGATAAATGTGAAAATGAAACATTCTGTTCCGAATGTTATCAAACTGTTCATACACCGCGTGTAATGCAGAAACATCAACAAATTCCAATCAATGAAAGACAAGTTGAAATCATTTTCTGTAGCGTACATTTAGATGAAAAAGTTAAATATTGGTGTACAACATGTAGAACATTTGTTTGTACTGATTGTATATTACTCGAACATAAAGACCATCAGTATAATTTGATAAATAAAATTGCAAAAGAATTAGAAATAAAGGTTTGTTTTTAATTTCAACAATTTAAATTTCATAAAAGATTAAAATTTTTAATATTTTCTTTTTTTGTTTAGATGACAAATAATTTCAATGATATTCAATTAACTGTCGAAAATAAAATAAATCGAGCAAATGAATTAATAAATAATTGTGATAATATCGCTCAAATTAATAGAACAAAAGTTCGTGATATTATGACATCTTTACGTGATACAATTGATAAACATGAACAGGAATTACTAAAAGAAATTTCAACAATTGAAATAGAACACAAAAATCAAATAGAAGAATATAAAACTAGATTGAAATATGAACCACAAAATTTAAGTATGCAAAGAGCAGCTTTGAATATACTTCTTACAACTAAAAATTATGCAAAATTATTAAATGCTACACAAGAATTCGAAGATTATATTAAAAGAACCAATGAAATATTACAAACAATAAATATTCCAAATGCAACTATTTATGAATTAACAGGATTTGATCAATTAGAAGTAATTAAAAAACAAATTCTTCAATGTGGACAATATATCAACAATAATAATAATTCACAATTGATTCTTAATAATGATCACAAAGAAAAAAAATTATTACATTCTACGAAAGAAAATCATAATTTACTTACCGTAGCAACAAGTAATGATTTTCCTAATTATATGGTAAGAATTTATATTTAGTACAACTATATTAAAATAACTTTTATTTTAGTATCTACCAAAAGAACAACGTCAAAAACAACTCTGCCGTAAATAAGATACACTTCAAAATATATTCATGTTTTTAAATAATACATACACTTTGTTTTTTTCTCTCTTATAATTGTTGTATGTAAAAAAAATAAAATAAAACAATATTGTTATGACTAATATCATATAATGATTGTACTGATAACTAATTCAATTTTTACTTCATGAACACTTCTATATAACTACGTCAAAAAGAAACATTCATGATGACGTACTCTATATATGAGTAACATATGGTTTATAGTTTTTACTATATTAAATATGCACGTGAATCCTGCTATAACATTCTAAATATATGTATGTTTGTGACGGAAAAGACTCAAAGTACAAATAGGTAGAATTACTTCCAGAGTTTCATATTATGAGAAATCGAATAAATTACATTTATTCTTCTATATCTGACTTTTATAAAGAAAAAATTTAAATCTGAAATGTAGAAGACAATCAAGGCAAATAATTGAAAGAATTAAAAATAGATTTCAACCTTTAATATAATCATAAATATTCATTAAAAATCTAAATATATTTTTCTTCTATACAGTCATTTATTTTGACTTCATTACCGATATTGGAAAGATTCTGAACAATAATATATATATATATATATATATATATATCAAAATGCTTTGATTTGCACTTTAATAGCTTTCCCTAATAAATAGAACTTCAACATCTTCCGGCATCAGTAAATACAACTGATTACTTCTAGTCAAATAAGAACTTTATAAGACTTCGAATATTAGATTCTTTTTTTCTTTTATAAATCACAAGTGTAGAGAAAAACTGTTTTCTCGTTTCCAATATAGTCTCGTCAACGGTAAATTCTGATGTTATTTTATAATATCATCACTTACGTGATTAATTTCAATACATCAAAATCAAAGAAGAAAAATTAACCTTAGTCGTACTTACTATTTATTTCAATATTTAATTTCTGTTTGCAAAAATACGTAGATTCAAAATTTTTTTATATGCTAGAGTTTTCGAAGGAAATGATTCATAAATATTTTATTTCCTATGTTAACGTTTAATCTAACAAAATTGACTGCTTTTGACAAGACTAACTCTTATGAGTATTTCCTAGTCTATATTTATTCATATTTTGTACTACAATTTCTACATCTTTTATTTTTCATTTAAAGTCAATAATTTAATAGGATATCAAGTAAGTTACTTAAAATATAATTGGAAAAAGAAAGATTATAATATATATCTATCTATTCAACTCGATGTAATGAAAAAAGTTTATAGAGTTGAGTGCGAAGAATAATCTTTTCTCTTGCAATCAATCATAACTAATTCGAGAAGACATTTTAAAAAAACTCACAAGAAAAATTTTTTCTCGTTTGCTTTTTTCTCGTCTAATATATATAGAAATGATTAATATGAGAATTTAAAAATATTTTTAATCTCTTCATATGATTTTAGAGATAGAATAGAATCTATATTTTCTTGTATATTTCATCATCATTTATGACGAGTACTTGTCATTCTTAAGTATCTTATCGAATGTTTTTTGTTAATATGTAGCGTGAAAATATTTTTGTTACACAAATTTGATAGAGAATAAAAGACATCTGATAAAATTGTCTAGAGAGATTTCTTTATCCTGATCAATGTACTTTAAGAGTAGAGATTTATCTATGTCTGTAAATGTTTGATTATCATATCGTAATAAGTCTACAATCACTATGTATTTGTTTTTTTGCTCAAATATTTTCTCATCATTTTCCTTTCTTTCGATTATAAGTATAGTTAATCAAAGACTAAATAACATTTCTTCTTAAAACTACCAAAATATTTCTGATAATCATCACCGACTGAAACACATAGGTTATATCTATATTTATACATCATTTTTTATATTCTAGTCAGCTCAATTGTTATTTTTGTGAGGAAAACAATAGAAAGATCGAATCGTTTGTCAAGAGGAATATTATTAAATTTTTTATTCGAACACTGAGGAATGATTTTTGATATTGCAGATTGTTATGTTTTCTTTATTGAATAGTTAGGTTTTTTTTTATTCTAGGGAAAAAGTAAGGGAATTTCGAAAATGTCACTTGTTCAAAAGACAAATAAATATGCAAATAAAAAAAGAAAAGTAATTATTCATCATGACAACGACAGACAAGAAATAAAACATGTAAAAAGTTGAATGAATTAGTTGTATTAGTAGTCGTTTATTACCGTTTGCATATTTTTTTTTCTCTTCTTATTACGCGTCATATCTATGTTTCCATCGTTTACATAGACAATAAAATCATTTCCTATATTTATTCTTTAGAAAAACTTGATATTCGAATTAGTGAACATTTTTTTCTTTTTCTTTCGCTCGTTTTTTTTTCTTCTCTAATAATACATCATAATTGCGACAAATAAAAAAAGTATATCACATGAATAGTCTTGTTAATATTTATGTCATACTTTTTTATATTTTTTATTACTATTGAGCTTATCCTTCGAAATATTCATCCGAACAATGAACATGATCATATTAGGCGTATGTTGAAGGACGAAATAAATGAAGAGAGACAGAGAAAGAAAAATAAATGACATTTTACATTCGTCATCATCTTTATTCCGGATATATATTTAAGGCCTTCTCAGCTCAACAAGTTCCTAATAAATATTTCTAGTTTGGATTTTTTCGCTCATTTAACAATAGTAGAAATAAATTTCCTATTCCCTGGAAAAAATCGTTGAGATCTATCATTTTTACTTTTGTATACATCATTTCCTCATTTAAATATACCTTTAAAAAGTATGTATTGATAAACGGAAATTATTTGTACTTCATGCGCCCTATATAAGTAACTTTGTCGGCTTATCGATTATATACTATGCGTCAAAAATAAGGGCAAATTTTCTTTACACAATATATCTTTCTCTATCTGTTTAGATTTAATTTTATATTTGAATGTATCTTTATCGTTAACGTCATTATCTATATACATCAAATCTATTATTATATTAAAAAAAAGAAAAATTTCTTAGTGGTTTATTTTCCATATGTATTGTTCACATGCAAGGTATATCTCAATTAGAGCAAATTATTTCATCAATATCAGAAAACTATTCCAATGATAGTTTATCATCATCATCTGCTATGCAATATATTAATCCAAATATACCACGACCATTTATTTGGACTATTTTAATTGCTGTTTGTTTATCAATTATTGTTATATTAACTGTTGTTGGAAATATTCTTGTTTTAATTGCATTATGTTTCGATTTTGCACTTCGTTCACCAACACATTTATTAATGGGAAATTTAGCATGTGCTGATTTATTATTAGGTAATCATAATTGAGTAAAAGAAAACGCAAGAGAGTAATCCTATTCTTTTTCCATAGAAAATATGACAAGCACATTTGCGTGTATTTTCTAAATGAGACTATTGTACTTCTTCTTTTGTCATATGAAGTTGTAATCTTATAGAAATATTCTATGTCATCAGAAAAGTATTGATATTATAAGATAGGAATATGTATTTTCTTGCTTTTTTTGAAATTTAATATCTATCAATTTCAAAACTATAGATAATTAAAAACAAAAATGCAGTCCTATACTTTTTCTTCTGATATGTCAATGTCAATTTGATTTTAATATTTTTAAAAGTATGTAGTATTATTAAGAAAATGAAGTTATAATTGTATTTGACAGTAATAATTGCTTTTATGAAAAAAACAAGATTTTCTAAATGAATTCGTTTTTTCTTTTTAGGTATTACAGTATTACCATTTTCTGCTACACTTGAAATTCTCGATGGCAAATGGTTATTTGGTCGAACATTTTGTCATCTATGGATTTCTATTGATGTTCTATATTGTACAGCAAGTATATATGGCTTAATGTTTATTTCTATTGAACGTTATATTGGTGTAACACGTCCATTACGTTATCCAATAATTATTACACATACACGTACATTAATAGCAATATTAATTGCATGGTTAATATCAATTGTTGTGTCTGTTGCACCATTTCTTAATAATTTTAATGGAGTTGGATCAATTGATCAAGGTTGTTCAGTTAATGAAAATATACAATATGTATTATTTTCATGTTCATTTTCATTTTATATACCTTTAATTATAATTCTTTGTGTTTATGGACGTATTTATGGTGAAGCTATTCGGCAACATGCATTTTTAAGTGGTGGAGAAAAAAAAGTTCGTATAAATGAAACAGTTGGACAAGAATGTGTAACATTGCGTATACATATACCACAACATTTAGCAACATCAACAACATCATTATCAAATACAATGCATTCCTCAACTACAACATTAGCAACAAATACTCGAAGACTTTCAGCATTAATAACAGGAAATGCTTCAAATAAATTATCGAAATTTTTACGAGAACGAAAAGCTGGTAAGAAAAAAAACTAAATATATGATTTTTTACCTTTAATTTTTTTGTTTAGCTAAAACATTAGGAATTGTTGTTGGAATGTTTATTTTATGTTGGTTACCATTTTTTCTTTTATTACCTATAAGTAAGTTGAAATTTCACAAAGAAAACAAATTTCAATTTTCTATTTTATTTTAGAAGCATTGACAGGACGTGATCCGGGTATTATATTTTCTATTTGTTTTTGGTTAGGTTATTGTAATTCATGTTTCAATCCATTTATTTATGCATTTTCAAGTCGAGAATTTCGAAAGTATGAAAAAGAATAAGAATAAATCTATTATTATTTTCGATATATTTAGAGCATTTGAAAATATATTAAAATGTCATCGTAAACCATATATACGAACATCAATGAGTTTTTCTCGTATATCTGCAGCAACAGCAATCGATCATACACAATTAAAAAAATCTCATAGTTGTGATATAACATCTGCACCATTTTTTCGTAAATCAGATTCAACAATAAGTTGTCGAACATCATGCGATAGTCAAAATCATTTTATTCATTTAACAAAAAATCGACTGTGTTTAGATCGTCCACAATTATCCGTTTTTCAACGTTTATCATCTCCAAATAGTTCAAAATCATTAACAACACTTCATAAAACAAATTCTTGGCATCTTCAAGAGCCAACTTGTGTCAGATAATGATTTGTTATTTATTCAGTTTTCAAAATGAATATTACATATATGAATTCCTCTCTAAGATATATATACATATACATATAAATATAACATCATTGTCTTTTTTTTATCTTGATTAAAATAATGAATGGAAGAGTAGGAGATATTTTCCTTTGTTTTGTTCAATATTACAGATAAGAGGTCTATTTCTTGTTTGAAAGAATATTTCATAACCGTGAATAATCTTACTAGAAATATGTGCTTATTTTTAGTCGTATATTACCAATAGATTGTAAACAGGGATATCGATTAACAATAAATGTTGACTTTTTTATCTAATAGTCCAAAAATTTTATGTTTACGAGAAAAACGCATGAATGAGTTTCACAGCAGTAGTGGAAAGACATGAAAAGTGTGTCCTTTGTACACGCATATCTATCCTACTGTGAATACTATCTATTCTTATTTCCGAATGAAAATCATCCTTGTTCATTGACAGTTACTATGACCTAGAATATTCTATATTTAGAATTTTGTGGTATTTATAAAACGTAAAGTCGAATAATAGAATTAATTTTTAATAGGTTAATTGTTAATAATATGAGTAATTTTCATTGGTTTACATTTATCAAACGTTTGCACAAAGAATCTTATGTTTCAAGTATTCAAGAGCAAATAATATTATTTCTAAAAAGCTAAATATAACAATTCTTTGATTTGTTGCTAATTTCCGTATATATTGTTCGTTGATTATTCATATTATATAAAAAAAATCTGTTTTTTTTCTTTTTATAGAATGTTTTAGTTGGAACTTTGAAACAATCTTGATAAGTACTGACAAACCATTAATAATTGAGAGCAATAAGTATCTATGCATGACTTGAATGTTTAAGTTCTCTTTTTCTATTAATTGTCTCTCATTAGTATCAATGACTCATTCTCTCGTTAAAATGAAATATATAATTCCATATAATATTCTCTACGAGAAAAATTATAAGCGAAAATCTGATTTTAACGTGTAAATCACAAAATTACCTGTTGATAAAATCCGTGTTATCAATAGTAAATAAGGATACCATTAACTGATTTTTGATCATTGATATTATTTACATTGTAGAAAAATTATACTAATCTATACGATTTGAATTATTTCAATATTAATTAATTAATTTTTGAATTACAAAACAATTCTGATTATTAACATACAAGACACAAAAGAAATAGAAAATAATATTCTGCGGAATGAGTTTTTTTATAAGTAAACGAGTATATATGCAGAATAATATCGGACTTAAGCAAAAAATTCTCTTGATGATACTCTTGTATATGCGTGTGATGGTGATTTGCTTGGTCTTTCTTCTAATGCATATGAACCTTCATCTTTTTTACGCATTCGATAAATTATAAACATAATAAGAAGAATAGCTGAAAGCATACCAATAACAATACCACCCACAACACCTATGAGGTAATAGGGAAAAACGATAAGCTCTTTTTGAATTATAGAAATTAAATGTTCTACTTACCAACAAGGATAGCTGGTCTAGTGAATAGATCCCGCCAAAGATCAGATGATATAAAAGGTAATCGAGATGTTGTTTCAATCGTAGTAGGTTTTTTATTAACAGGTTCACTAACTGTATGATCTAATTCAGCACGATTAACAGACATTGTATTACCATATATTTGATTTTCTAGTCCATCTTCTTCGTCTGTATATGAATCTGGATCATCATATTCCTTTTCTTGTGCTTCACCATTGAACTGTGATGTTATATTATTTTGTGATTTAGTTTGTGAAATAATTGTTGAAGGTGAATTATCATTAGAGTCTACTTGATCATCATAAATATCTCCTTCTCCATCACCTATAATTTAAAAATCAAAGAATTACACCAACATACATAATTACAAACAATAATTCTTCTCTACATACTATTTTCATTGTCAGTATAATAAATATTACCCTCATCAGATAATATTGTCGTTATTGATGTTGTGATTGTTTGTGCTTTCGATGTCAATGTCGATACAGGCTAAAATAAGAAATATAATCTCATGAGAATTGAAATAAATATTGCTAGTATGTGTTTTTTTTAGGAACAAAATCTATGTCGATTCGATTTTGTTTGATCTTGATCGATCTCTCTAGAGACTTAAATGGATTTGTTACGTTGATTTCTATCTTTGATAAAAATAATGATCAATCAAATTTTGAAAAAAAAGAAAACATCTGTGTTTTTTTGTAAACGTCATCATAGATAGGAATAACATACTTGAATTTGTTGAGCAATGACTAATATAGGATTGTATATAAGAAGAATGAATACTGTTAATATAGACCAGGAATAATATAAATTTGAATAATTGTACTGCTTATTTATCATTATAATTTTTGGTATTTGAGTAGTAGAAGAATAAGTCGATGAAGTTGTCATCTCTTTACGATGTCACGATTATTCGACCACGAATAGCAAATGAAATCCATTAGTATTACTAGAACTAGCCGTGATTGTCGGAAAAGAAGAGAGAGAGAAAAAAGGAAGAAGAAAATGAGTGTTGTTATATAGAAATGTCGTTCGCTCGATATCTATCTAAAAAGAAGAAAAAGAAACTGCAAAGAATCAGGAAAAAACACATCTTCTTCGTTAATTTCTAGTCTTCAAGAAGCAAAAAAGCGTTATGGTTTCTAAACCAAAAAATATAAAAGAAAAAAAAAGAAGAAAAATCGTGACGACAATTGTATTCAATGCGTATGCCTTCGTATTTCATTCGCTCAATTATTCAATGATCATAATTTCATTTCTCTTATACTCTACTCGCATCTAACCCTTCAAAATATATATATAGTCAAAAATTGTTCGTTTCACGCTCTAACAATAGAAACACATTAACTCGTATTGATAACACATGTTTTCTTTACTGAAATTAATTATACTATTGACTAATGTATCTATGTAAAAGAAAAAAACACTTTGTATTCAACAAAATGGATGATCATCTATGTCAATTGATATTTGTTTGCCGCCGGTACTAGTTCACTCAACATCCTTTATTGAAAAAAAAGGAGAGAAGAGAAAAGAAAAAGAAGAAAAAAAAACCGGACAAAGTTACATCATCTATTCACGCAATTTGAGAAGGGAGAAAAAAAGTTGAACATGCATAAATGATAGAATAAGAGCTAAAGAGAAAATGTCAACTAAAGACAGATGGACAGCTGTGTCTGTTTTTTTTTCTTTTTTTGAGTATAGCAAGACAATTGCATCACTATCATTTTCACTAAATTGTTTATTATATTAGAAGACAAAAATCAACTTTTTGAATACATAGGTTTTCTTTCTTTCGCCATAAAGTGTTTAGGAAGCCGGTTCACATTCTTTTTCTTTTATATATATAAATAAAGATTGTCTGTATCGATAAGTATATAAATATTGATAAAAAAAATGCATTTATGCATCGACAAATAAAACATTAGACTAAAAAGAGAAACAAAAGCGGGTCTTCACTTTAATGTATAAATGATTACGAAAAGAGATTTCATGTGTCAAAACTATTGCTTTGCTATTCTTTTCTTTCTATATATCATGTACTTTAATAGCTATCTCATTATACAATTTATAGAGGAGCAAAAAATGAACATCGATCTATTGATATGCATATAGATGTTTGTTTACAGTCGGCTACTACGATTTCCATTTTTCAATTTCCTGAATAATATGTCATGCAAACAGCTTTATCTCCGTTTCCCATACAACCAATGCCAGCCCTCTTTAACTCACTATACTTATGCGTGCGTAGCATTCTAATATAAATGAATATGTTTCTTTTGTATAAACTATTTTCCTTCGGATATTGTTAGCGCATGCTCGAGCTCGTGAATGTTATAGATTTTTCCTTTCTATCAAACATATTTGTTTCATGAAAAAAAAAAAGAGCGACAAAACTTAATAGAGCTATGATCAATGAGTAGTATTGATAGAACATGTAAATTTATGATACTCACTAAAGGGAACACTAATTATTGACTGTTGACCGACTAGTACATGATGTATGGTTGAAGATTATATAGAGTGCCTTTTTTCTGCTCTTGTTGTGTGTCAAGAGCTCGGTCAATCATTGAGTGGAACATGGGAAAAATTCAAAATGTTGTTACGAGTTGATCGATGGTACGCATGCCTTGATTATTATGATAATAAAATGCATAACAATCATGACGGGAAACCAATCATCAATTGATCTCGTCGAACATTACTTTCTTTTTTTTTCATATCCACATTCTCTTCTTCTCTTTCTCTTTTTCTCTTGCTATGCATATGTACGTCCAACAGTCTAGACAAAAACGAGAGACTACAATGTCTTACATATACGTATGTAAGAACAAGAAGAAAGCTAATCATTATGATGATTGTTTATTATTAGTTGATGATGAACAGTTATCAAGTATATAAAAGACACAAAAATGAGGAGACCCGTAAAGAAAATAATTTGTCTGAATGGCAAATAAATAATAAGTAAAACTTGTCCAGATTAATTCATTGGTACAATAATAACAAAAGTCCATTATCGGTATATTTATCATTAACTGTATTTGATTGATTATACAATAGGAGAAAAAAAAAATTTCTACTGACACATAACAATCATATGACTGCGGTTTTTCTTTTTTTTCAATAAAAAAAAGATTAATAATTAACAATGTCTCATTCAGGATAATCATTACTGTATATAATGAGGTCAATCGGATGTGAAAGAAAAAAAAGAATATGGTATCCAGCTGTCAAATGACATGCATAATGGAACATATATTTCAATAGTATCTGGTTGAAAGAAGACAAAGTAATAGTCTGTTAAATAGAAATATGAATAATTATTTATGACAATATTAAAACAAATTGGATAATATTAATTAAGATTCTGTGAAATACCGACATAAACAGATGTTTGAATTATGAACTCATATGAATCATTATATTTAATGTCGTTTCTAAAATTCAAAAAAATATGTGCAATCAATTTATTTTCATTTGATTTACTTATTAACTACGAACATTTTACAATTGAATATAATAATAGATCGTTTTAATTACCTATGACAAAAACTAAATTTTTTGGATCACTTCCGAAATTTATTAATATCTATTCTTATTCTCGACAATCTTCATAATAGTAAGACAAAAATATTAATCTGTCTGACATTTACTGTTTATGGTAATTAATTAATGTTCACGGTCAGTAGAAATTAATTGTTCTCTTGAAAAATATAATACAAAAGAAATCCTTTAACATATATCGTATATAAAAATCTCAACAAATTAAAAATATAGGTAAACTAACTTTGTTTGTCAGATTTTATATAGTATTCTACATTTATATATTCGGTACAGGTCTGTGGTTATCATCATTCAAACAAAGTTTAATTGATGAAAATAATCTGTGTAACGCATGAAGTTAGATTCGAACCAATACATCGATGTATTTAAACCATTGAACTATTTTCTATAACAAGGCTATTCCTTGTATTCATAACTCAACAAATGAATTCAATCAATTATATATTTATTTGTTTATTATTACGTTAAAATAACAAAACAAGAATTGAAGAAAATAATTTAAGCAGTCGTTGTTAAATGATCCGCTGCAATTTTCTGAAAATCACTATATAAATTAAGTAATGCACCTGTATTTACATTCGTATCTGCAGCAATAATAAAAACAAATGGCGAAACATTATATGTAATTATTTGACGTGCTGACCAATATGTAACAACTGTTTTTAATTTTTTAAAATTCATTCGTGAACTTTGATCTTGTAATATTTGTGCTGATGGTAATAATGTTTGTAAATCAAGTTGATCAACAGCTTCATTTGTTGGTAATTTTAATATTGGTATACCATCTTTATCAAGTATAAGTATTGCTTCTATATCATCAATATGTGCAAATAAATTCGGAAGTGTCATTTTGTTTCAATATAAATAAAATATATAATAATATAGAAAGATATAATGATGAATATATTGTTTTTTTTCTTCTGTTGGTTGGATCAGCTGAAGAATACAAATTGAGAAAATGAGTATTAGATGTCGCTGTTCAGTAG